GAGGGAAGTTGTCCATCAGCACCTGGTGAGCCACAGACTCCCATCTGTGGTAGCAGTTATGTTCTTCCATGCTTTACATGTAAAAAATTGCGCAGGAGTGATATGTGGTACTATACTACAGTACATGAAGCAAGATCCTTTCCTCTGAATCTCCCTAAATGTTCTTAACAAGGTTCATCCAAAACACGTGAAGGAAGCTTTCAGATTATTGAACAAATCTATCATCCGGGTTGAAACTCCAGATATCAATTTAGACCAAGATGAAGAACCATCAATTGAAGAGCCTGAGGACCAGGATGGAGTTGCCGGTGAGTGGTTTCCAGATAAGTCTTAGCCCAGGGGGATTCTCAGTTTCAAGTGAGGAGATTCCCACCAAAAACAAAAAGGCCAAGTATCAGGGCCACCTGAGTGTTACTTCTTAGGGCCTGCTTGTTTCCAATCCACTTTGAGTGATGTTGGGCCTCTTTAAGTCAGTCTTACTTAATTCTTATTACTGTTAATTTTAATAATGCCTTGACAGTAGACGTGCTTGGTGCCATTTTAACTAACTTTGTGATAATTTAGGAAGGCTTTTCAAAAAAGCTTTTCATTGACCACATGCTTGGTTCAATATTTTTCCTATACACCTTCATTATTTCATAATACCAATTGTGAAATGCCAAGAGAGATTTATTGCAGAGTATAAACTTTGCTCATTTACCTGGGAGTAAATAAGTAAGTACATTGGGCAAATTTCTGACTTAGTACGAGAAAATTGGGCCAAAAACAAAGCTAGCTAGCATAATTTTTAGTTTAAAGACAATATCTCCAAACTTGTATATTTGCAGAAAGGACTGAGTGAATGTTTCTGTTGGAAAGATTCCGTTATATGAAGGGAAATAACGCTCTCACTTAACGTTTTCAAAAAGTTCTGGTAAAGCTGCCTTTTTGTGCCTAGGGGGCAAAAAAAGATACATATATTGAATGCACAAAAATACAATACAATATTGAAGAGATTGAAGTACATAAAATAAATGGAGTCACATAACATATTTAATCGTTGGAGAAGGGGGGGTCTTTGTTTTTTTAGCTATTTAGGATTTCGACCATCAGAGTTTCATTCATATCATAAACAAAACAAAACCTGGGTTAGTTTGAGTTTCTTTCTCACCCCTGTCTTCTTTCCCAGAAATGGTTTTTATGACTGTTTTTTGTAACTGCTCCTTTTACAGTTCATTTATCCCTTTTCCATTCCTGGGGCCAGGTTTACATTCTTTTACAGCTATTTGAAAGCTTCAAAAAAGGGGTGTGTGGGTGAAGATTGAAGCAACAGACAACCTAGGCATTATTCCTTCCTATTGCAAGGAATGATAAGAGAGGAGCTTTGGGGAAAATGACTTGACAAATAGACGATCATTATGGTTGTGAGTGTTTATTTTGAATGAATAAAGCAGGAAGCTCATTAAACCAATTTATTTCTTGATAAGGTTTCACTGTGGTTTATCAATTCCAGCCTAATGAATAAAAATTGTTTATGCTTTTAAGGAGAGGAAGACAATGTACTTACTAATGGCTTAGTAAATGGTACCGGTGACACTGCAGATGATTCAAACAAAGATGTGGCACCAAAGGCTTCTCTGAGACTTAGTTTTTCTGAATATCAAAGAATCTCTAACCTCATTGTAATGCATCTAAGGAGATCTGAAGAAGGTAAGGCCAGATCACCCTGGGGGAAGCAAGGATCCTCCAGTTGTAAGATCTACCCCTCATTGGACAAATAATGTTAGAACGTACGCAAATTTCCTTCATATCTGATAGGAATGAAGATTTTTAAATATTAATCCTGATAAAACAACAGATATAATTTTTTTTCAGGTGTGCATGGTTATTGATCCTGGACAATGAAATTGGATAGTTCTAGATAGCTAGAACAAGATAATTCACTAAGTAGATCTAGATCAACAGCACTGCTCAAAGCTCAGATTTCCAATTACTCTAAAATTGACATCTATATAGGGAAAACTCCATGATACTATAGATATAGGCATAGTTGCCTCTTTTGTATGTTTGAGTAATTGCATACATCCTAGTCCCATTATTTAAGAGAATACACTTGTACCTCCTACCTCTGGGTGCCTGCGATATTTCAAACAATCCTGTTGTTATTAAGGTAGAGGAAAAGGAATTCTACATGAATAGCATTCAAAATGCAGCTGACTTAAAGTTCCAGTTAGCTATTCAAAAGCTTTATTTCCAGTGCTCTTTTTAATAAGTGTTTTCCTTTTGTGATATCTATCCTTTCGGTTCCCGTGCAGGCAGGCAGGGACCTTGTACAAAATGCTGCGGTTTTCATGTCAGCCATAAACTTGCTTAGCCGTGGAGGTGCACAATTTTTATCAGACTTAACAAGGATATAAAGATAATTGAGAGGTGAATATAAAGTATGCTAAAATTACATAACCGTCAGAAACATTAACAAAATGTTTCTGGAAAATATTTTCTTCTGATTGCAGAAAATGACGACGCTGCCTTAAAAAAGAGTGAGCTTATCAACTGGTATTTAAAAGAAATTGAATCTGAAATAGATTCTGAAGAAGAACTCGTCAATAAAAAGAAAGTGATCGAAAGAGTGATTCACCGTCTTACACACTATGTACGTATGCATAGTATCCAAGGCCTGAGGTTCTGTTTGAATGCCAATGTTACTCAGAGCTCCTTTGACTGTACAAAGTTCTAACAGCATTGAAAAAAGGGACGTAATCCTAACCCCATGGACACGTGATTGAAATTTGGGTGCTTAGCAACCAGCGTGTATCTACGATGTTGTCGTATCCTGGAGTCATGTGAACGCCACTTGCAACCTTCCCAGTTGGTTTCCTACAAGCAGTCATTGGGGAAACTGGGTTTGTTTAACAATTGTGTGTTTCATTTAACAACTGCAATATAACCAAATAAAGATTTGATGATGATGAAGGTGCTGGAGTGGTTCGTTTTAACAACAGTGGTAGAAATGGTTGTAAGATTATAGCATGACTAACTGAATAATTGCCTCGCTTAGCAACAGAAATTTTGGTCCCAACTGTGACTCTTTTAAGTCAAGGACTTCTTGTAATAATCAATAAACTTCATTCACATAAATAAAGTTTATTCACTATTACAAGCAGTCCTTAAGTCCCAATTGGGACCAACATTTCTGTTGCTTAAGCAAGGCCATTGTGAGTTTGTATTTAAATATTTAAACGACCACACAAAGCATTTTATACTGGATGTGTGCCCCTGAGTTAAAACCGGGTCAAATTTGTGAGTTACGGTGTAAAAATAGACATTAGAATTCTGTGCCTATTTAGAAAATGGAAAGTCTTCCATTTCGGAACAGAAATGTATAAAAATGCAACGTTAAGCTTTGTTAGCATTTATGCAAATTATACCTTTCTCCTCCTGACTTTTAAAATTGCAACGTTGTAAAAATGGATGTATTCATCATAATACAGCAAGCAAAGATAGCAAAATATTCACTGCTACTTGGAAATCAGTCCTTTATAAACACGATCTGACCAAAAATTCTCTCTTACAGGATCATATTCTAATTGAACTCACACATTCGGGATTAAAAGATTCCGTGGAAGTACAGAGCTTTGATGAAGACCCCTTTCTTGTGGTTAATCCAAACTACTTGCTGGAAGATTAAAGACTGAGCGAGCCGTGCTACAAATCCATTTCATACCAGTGAGATAATAGCTCACTAGCTGATACGCATCAGTTGTAGATAGCTGACTAATCCAAGATTTATCTCGGAATTCACCTACCTTGCCTTTTTAAAATAATCTTTTGTAGAGATAAAAGGAGTTGTAAAACCTGGTAAAGCAAACCGTTTTTTTAAAGCTGACATCTGCTTCTTCTGTATTTTACATTTTAAAAAAATGTATGCAGTAGTTCAGTAGTGCAATCTTACTCTGTAAATCTCTTATTTGTGTCCAATAAATTTTAAAAAGTTCATCATGCATTCAGTTTCAAAATGATTTTTTTATGCATGAAACAGAAAATACATTGCTTTCATGTTTTTGGAATACTTGTTTTCAAGTCGGAAATACTAAAACAATATTGTTAAACTAAAAACAGCCAAGTTTTGTTTTATGTTTGGAACAAAAGTTTTCAAAGCATGCGTCTGATCTCAGAACGCCACTCTAAAGCTCAGGCTTTCATTGTCAAAGCCTTTTCTTTGTTTGTTTATCCAATTTCTATAACATCCCTATATGTTGATTTTGCTGGATAAAGAGCATTAGTCCAAACATCAATTTAAAATTGAATTTTACAGTTGTGATGCTAAAATATTACAATAATTTGGAAATAGGTTGATTTTGTTATTTAGCCTTGATCAAATGGAAAGAAATTCACACGCCCTGATTAAGATGTAACTGGAAACTAATTTAAAGAAAAGTTATGTGGTCCTGATAATCCAAGTTGGCCCATGCTACAAGGGTAGTTTTAGTTCTCATGGCACAATTTTTTTCCTCCAGAAAATCTCATTGCTACCTATTTGTCAAGGTGGATTTTTAGTGTTGAGAATGCCGTGTTGGGGGAAAACTCATAGTTTCTCTGTGTGTTGTAGAATCCAGATGAGCTAGCCAGATGTAGAGGTGTCCTCCATATTTGTTCTAACTCCCTTCTGATCCTTTGAAGCACAGTTTGGATTAAAAAAAACGTAGGGATGTTACTATGAATATACCAAGTATTCCACAAGAGTTAACACTGGCATTGTTGACCATTATCTTTTCAGCATCTGCCTAGATTCCATTTGGATGGATGGTGACCTATGGACTTGACAGTACATTAATAAGTAATAAGTTCTGCAACCTAAGTTGCATTTTTAATGCTTGCTTCCTACTTTTAATAAAAGATTCAGAGAATTAAATATTTCACAGTGTTATTGTAGTACACCACCCTTAGATACCTTTGTTATCTTTGCAGTTATAAAAGTTAAATGTTAAATTTTATTATCTTTGATCTAATATAAATGCGGCATGAGCCCTTGTGCTACAGCATCCACAGACATGGAGCTAGTTTATAAAATATGTTTAGTTTTTCTCTTTTCTTTCTTTTGCTCTGGAGAAGACTGGAAATTTGGCCCTGGTCAAGGGCGTATTTTCATCGCAGGTCCTCTTTCTGTTGAGATCTTGAATACATTAAATTTCAAGAGTAGATGTACGGGAGAACCTACGCTTTATTCTGTAGAGGCTCAGCTAGATTGTCTTTGCCATCAACAGTCAGTCACTTCTTTGTCATCACACTTTGCCAAGCTCCGGGCAAATGGTGTGACACATTTTAAGGTGGCTTTGCCATGGTCTCGTATCCTTCCAGAAATGAAGGCTCAAAAGCCCAACAAGACAAACGTGGAATGCTACCGACAACTTCTCGGAACTCTCAAATCTGCTGATCTTAAGCCAATTTTGATTCTGCAACAACATGGTTTGCCAAAATCTTTGGGCACCCAGCTTGGATCTACCACTTTTGCCAATCTTTTTGCTGAATATGCAGACTTTTCATTTAGGACTTTCGGTGAATTAGTGGACACATGGATCACTTTCAGCCATTTGCCTGAAAATATCAAGGAATTCCCTCTTGAGGATGCAGAAGTCTTTCCTCTACAAATACTAGTTTCAGCACATCAAAAAGCTTATAAAATCTACCATGAAAAACACTCATTTAAAGGTAAGTAGGAATGAATGAATGAATGAAACAATGCACTGCAGTTTTGGACAACACAAATTTTAGAGATTGGAGCATATAGAATAAGTACAGTGCTCTAGTGAGCTAATACATATTCTAGAAGGTATCACAAGGTGGTGCTTAAGATTAGCAGAGTAACTTTTTTTTTAAGAATTTTATTAATTTTCAATAAATAAACATACACAAACAAAACATAAATACATAAAACTTTTTGGAAAGCAGCCTGGTCCCGGGTTACATCTTTTGGTACAGACAAATCAAGTTCATGCTCATTTTATATACCATTTCATATCTTATTTACCATTCTATATTTTCTATACGGCTTCTCCCCTCTTTTCACTCTCATAATTCTATTTTATTTATTTCATCTCGATTTAGATCATTATACTAATATCTTTTGTCCATTCTGTAATCATCTATTTTTCTTTTCTTCTTCTTCTTCTTCTTCTTTTTCTTCAGCGTTTGTCTCGCGCTCGGGCGAGGTCCGCTAATGTCCTTGAGTACTGCTTCCACACCTCTCTGTCTGCCACGTGTGTCGGGTCTGCCTTCGCGATCTCTAGATCGGCCTTGATCGTGTCCATCCAGCGTTGTTTAGGTCTACCACGCGGTCTCGCTCCTCCGACAGTCACCTTCATTACAGATTTGATGATGGATTCTTCCTTGGCGCGGCTCACGTGGCCGAACCATCGTAGCCGGGACTGCCTCATGACCGTGGGGATGGGCACGACGTTGAACCGTCTACGCACTTCTTCGTTCCTGACGCGATCGAGTAGGGTGAGGCCTACCGACCATCGGAGCATTCGCATCTCCATTATCTGGAGTCTGCTTTCGACTTCTTTGGTCGTCGGCCAGCACTCTGCGCCGTATATGGCCACGGGGCGCACCACAGAGTTATAGATTTTCGCCTTCAGGCGCATCGGCATCTTCTTGTCACAGAGGACGCCCGTGATGGACTTCCATTTGCCCCACGCTGCATTGATCCTGGCTGCCACCTCAGTTTGTAGTAGGCCTTCTTCCCCAAGAGTAGTTCCCAGGTACTTGAAGGTGGAGGCGCGCGGTAGCTCCTGCCCGTTCACGTGGATGGAGCCTGTCATTTCATTGTCAGTGGTCAGGTATTCGGACTTCTTTAGGTTCAGCCGGAGCCCGAACTGCTCGAGGCGGTCGTGCCACTGTTGGACTCGGTGCTCTAGTTCAGCCTTGCACAGGTTGGCCAGGAACACATCATCGGCGTAGAGCAGCGTCCATGGGGCGGGCGTGTACAGGTCGTGTGTAATTGTGTCCATCACCAGAATGAACAGCAGTGGTGAGAGAGCAGAGCCCTGGTGTACGCCGACGGTAATATTAAACTCCTCTGATATCCCAGCTGCCGCTTTTACACGGCTTTTGTGACATCTGTATAGGAGTTGGACCCATTGTACGAGCAGCTCAGGCACGCCGTGGTCTCGCAGTGCGTACCAGATGAGATCGTGCGGGACTCGGTCGAAGGCCTTTTCCAAGTCTAGGAAGGCGGTGTGGAGCGGGATTTTCTTCTCTCTGTGAGCCTCCATCAGCATCCGCACACCAAAGATGGCGTCGGTGGTGCCGCAGTTCTTGATGAATCCAGCCTGGTTGACGCTGATGTCGACGGTGTCCCGAATGCGCTTATCAAGGACGCGTTCAAAGATCTTCATAGTGTGTGACAGTAACCTGACCGGTCTGTAGTTGGAGCAGTCCGCTGGGCTGCCCTTTCCCTTCCAGATCGGAACAGTGGTGCTGCGGTACCAGTCGTGTGGCACTTTTCCCGTGGAGACGATGTTGTTGAACAGCTCGCACAGCCACAATGCCGAGCCCGGTAGTGCCTTTTTCCAGAAGTCGGCAGGGATGTCGTCTGGTCCTGTTGCCTTACCGTTTTTCATGGCCTTGATGGCGTCGGCGACCTCGCTGGCATAAATGCCTGAGACTGGGCCTTCAACTGGGTCACCTCGCGGGGTTCGTGGGTGTGGGAACTCCTCGGTGGAGATCTTCTCGAAGTATTGCCGCCACCTCTCCGCAGCGTCTCTGGGGTTGACGATCAAATTTCCCCTTTCGTCGTTGATCCCATGAAACTGGTCAATGTCCAGGGTCTTCCTGTGTCTGCTTTTGGCTAGGCGGTAGATCTCATTCTCGCCTTCTCGCGTGTTCAGCTTCTCGTAGATGTCATCGTAGTGGGAGCTTCTGGCTGTCGCTACTGCTTTCTTGGCTGCCTTTTTGGCCGCCTTGTATTCGCAGAGCTTCTCGCTGGTCTTGTCCTGAAGAAAGGCCTTGTAGAGCCGTTTCTTCAGGTGTACGGCATCTTGTACTTCCGGTGTCCAGAGCCATGTATCTCGTTCGATGCGTCTCCGTCCTGGCTTGGTGCAACCAAGCTGTTGGCAGCCGGCAGTGTGAACAGTGCTCTTCAGCATGGACCACGCTTCCTGTGGCCCGTCGACCATCTGCGGGAACTGCTCCGGTTTGATGAGGGGTCCCGCCATCTTCTTCTGGTTCCACCACTTGATTCGTGGCTGGTCTGCATTTCTTTTGTCAATCCTGGTCTTGGGCTTGCTGATCCTGATCTTCGCCATCAGCGGCCTGTGCTGACTGCTCGATTCGTATGGGTACGCCTTGGCGTTGAGCACGTTTTTAGCGGCTCTTCGTCGTACGATGATGTAGTCGATCTGTGTGTGGTGGCTCCCGTTTCTGCTATGGTAGGTGAGGAGTTGAGATTCTCGCCTAATGAAGCAGGTATTCGTGATGGTCATATCATGGGAGTCGGCAAAGTCCAGGATCCTCTGGCCATTCTCATTCGTATCGCCTGTGCCGTGCCCACCGTGGCACTGGTGTCCGTTTTTGTCCCGCCCTACATGACCATTCAGGTTGCCCGAGATGATGATGTCGTCTTCATGTGGGATCTGCCTGAGTTGGATGTCGAGCAGTTCCCAGAAGGTATCCTTCTCCTCCTCGTGACATCCGGTCTGAGGGGCGTAGGCGGACAAGATGTGTAGGCGCTGCCTCTCGGTCGCTACGACGATTATCATCAGTCGTTCTGTGAGGCGCTTAACTTCTGCGACGGAACTTTGCCAGCTTGGACTGACAACCACAGCTACACCGCCGCGGTTTTCCTTACAGCTGGTGTATATGATCTTGTAGCCGTCTATAGTCGTAGCCTTGTTGCCCTTCCAGCGAGTTTCCTGGAGGCAGCAGATGTCCAGCTTCCTGTCCCGCATGGCCCTGACGATCTCGGTCGAGCGTCCAGTCAGCGAATCCACGTTCCAGGTGGCCACCTTGAGCGTCTGGCAGTCCTCTGTTCCCCGCTTGCGTTTTTTCACACGGCCGTGCTTTCCGCGTGGACCATTTCGTTGATTTTTGGCGCAGGCCAATGGTCTCCTGCGCCCGTCGGTTCCCCCGAACGCGGTAGCATTGGACGTGTGTTTTGTAGTGGACGTTTCCATCATGTTGATGCGGCATTTGAGTACTCCAGCCGGCCTGTCGCGTGGGCCTGTCGTCGGAGGGTCTGCTCTCAGTTACGGTCAGCGTTTGACGGCTTCGCGCATCCAGGGGACACCACTTGGAGGTGGCAGACCGCTCGTCCCCCATCTATTTTTCTTTTCTTATTAACACAATATTTCTCCTGTAATCACTAATTGAAGTATGACGCCTTTATATCTTTCCCCTAAATTTAACACTTAAAATAATATATAATTCTCATTCTGATTCTGCTTAGCACGTTCTAAAACTACCTACTACATTTTAAGATAGAAAAATAATAAATTTATAATACAATTGAAACAATAATCCATAGTATATTGAACTTTATCATTTATGCATTTTTTGGTATTTTGTTAAATCATATAAAGATCCAGTTTTCTAACATTGTTTCAAGTAAAGATACAAAAATACAATCTTATGTACTTTTGCAGAATCTCTTGTAATCTTAGTCTTTTTACCCCCTGTCTCTTAATCTCCACCCTCTTGATCTCCACTCTCTTCTGTAAACACAAGCTTTAGCCCTTCTTTTTAAACTCTCTTCCTGGGGTCTATCTTTCCCCTAAATTTAACACTTAAGATAATATATAATTTCCATTATGATTCTGCTTAGTACATTCTACATACATTTTAAAATAAGAAAATAATACGTTTATAATATCGTTGAAACAATAATCCAAAGCAAATTAAACTCTATCATTAAATCTTAAACATTTTACATATTCCCTTTAATTTTTTATTAAATCATATAATATTCCAATTTTCTAACTCTATTTCAAATACAATACTACAATACAATCTTGTATGCTTTTGCAGAATCTTTTTAATTGTATTTTACCCTTTGTCTCTGAAAAAGATTTGTTTTTTTACATCTTTCAAGCCTTTGTGACTTCCCTTTTTCCCTTCCTTTCTTGTCCAATCTAGCCTTTTTACTTCCCCATCTCTTAATCTCCCCTCTCTGTTGTATTCCTCTTTTCTGTTGCTTTCTGACATTGTATCTATTTTTCACCTTATTTTTCCTTTTTTTGGTTGTTCTTTTAAGTCTTGAATTCTCCATTCTCTTTCCCCTCTTTTCCTTTTCTTCCTCAACTAAAGTTCATTAAAGATGGCTTCTTCTTCATCATCCCAGCTTTTTTGTTGTTGTAATTCCTGGTAGGTAGAAATTGCCATTTCCAAAAAGTGAAAAACAGATCCAGTAGAGCCCTTCCCTTCTTGTTCCTCTTCTCTTAACTTTTGAAATTCCATTTTCAATTCTTCAACAGATAATGCCATTGTAAGATTTTTTTAAACAACCCAAAAGTTTTTAGTCTTTCAAAAATTAGTTTCCAAAAGTCCCAAAGTCACCAAGCAACCCTAATCAACACAAACTGTTTCATTTAGCACTTTCTTCTTTTTATACTTTCTCTTCTTGGGGTAGAATCAATTGCAAAGTTCCAAAATGTATTTTTTAGAAGTCTTATTACAGTTTGTCTCTGGTCTTATAAGCTCCAAGCAATCTCCTCCAGCAAAGTCTTAATATAAGTTATTTATCTCTCCCTTCCCACTTATAGCGAAAAAAGGAATTTTTAATTTTTTTGATTCCAATGTTCAGAAATCTTTAATATCCCCTTGGTTTTATTTTTCAAGTTTAATTACCTTCTGTTGCCAAGATGGGTTTTTCTGATTTCCTTCTGCTATTTCCGTAGGGAAGGAGAGTGAGAAAAAAAAAACGTTCCCTTTTAACTTTCTTCCGCCGCTTTTTACGATCTTCTTAGGGAACAATGTATCTTTTAAAAAGTTGAATTTCCAGGGTATTTAGATGTTACTTGTTATCCCGGTTCAGCCAAAAACTTTCACTTTCTCAGCTTCCTCCTGCACAATCTTGTCTGGATGAAAGTTTCTTTGTGGCGGCCATTGCTGACCGCCGCTCCACCGCTTTTGGAGGAAGGAGTTGAGCCAGCTGAGGAGGGGGGTTGCGATCCCCCCGACCCCTGTTGGGCCTCCTCTATCTTCAGTCACCTCTATGGGGTGACTATTAATCCCCAAATCCAGCTGGATCAGGGGCACACCAGCGGCGAGCGCGACAAGAACCACGCACGAGCGCGGATTCCTGCCGCCGCCGAAGCCTTCCAAACCTGAAGATCTTAAAGGGTGAACATTCAGTCTTAAGTTGAATTCCTGACTTCTTATGCCTTTCTTAAATATAAGCTGCTGGTTTTCTCCCCTTGTTATCTCAAATCCATCAAAGCCAAACATGTCTTCCCATTTCCTATCCCACTCCCTACACACCACAGGCACAGACAAAAACACACACTCTGCTTCTTTTTGAATACTTTCAATACGTTCATTCCATTTATTTATTCATTCATTAAAGCATACTCTAGTAGTGCTTCCCAACCCTCAAGACTTACCTGAAGATGCCTAACTACTTAAATACTGATTCTTTCCATACATTTTTCTCCTTGGATTCTTTTAACAATGTATTTCTTTCCCTAATTTTCAGATGGAAAAGTATCCATTTCCTTGGACTTTAGTGATAATCAGCTGGCTCTTCCAGAATCACTCATATCTTCAGTTTGGGTAATGTGTTTAATTTTCTTGGAGTCAGATTAGTCTCCAACCTGTAGCTGAGGAGAAAAAAGAAAGACTTGTAACGTGCAAAACATATGACACAGAATTTCCTGAAGCAAACACAGCCCATTAGTAGTTTAATGAAGCAATTCTTGTAGCCAGTTTGAGATTGTCCAACATCTAGCAAGCTGAAGATCCTGTTGCACAAAACATTTTTTACTGTACCTGTTGCCTTTATGGAATTCACAGCCATTAGTTACAATGGCCAGGTCAGCTCAAAAGGGAATACACACATTTATAGAAATAAGCCATTAGTTATAATGACACAATGGGAATACCAGCCTTTGAAGTCTGGCCATTGGGGAGTAGAAGAGTTTTGTAAATCTGCAAGTGAGCTATTTTAGGAAGCAAGATGCTGGATTCGATGAATCCAACAAGACTTTAATATTCTCAATATTCAGAATATCTTCAGAAGTGATCATCCTTTTTTACTTTATTTTTGCAACTATTGTCTTCCATGTAAGAAGGCATATCAAAATCACCAATAAGTTATCCAACTGAATGCATGGGCCTTTTTTTGGTCTCCAAAAAAGGGAACTGCAACTGATCACTGTCTTCACGGCTGAAAATTATATCCCATAGAAACCATATTAGGTGGTTCAAGGCCTACATCTAGATTCAACATAGCTGCACCATAGTGTGTACCTTCCTAGCAAAGTAAAGGCCCCCTTCAAATGGAACTTGACCACTGGCAGTGTTGTGTCCATGCCCGTGTAGTTTTTTTCCCTCAGTTGTTCTAGGATGTCTTCTTTACTTCCTAGCAACTAATCTTTGTGTTCTTGTCACTTAATTGCATGGAATGATTTAAGCATTTAAATAATAATGCTTCTGCTTTTTAAAAAAAAATGGCAAAGGCCTTCAAGTTAATAAAATAAAGTTCATATCCTATGCTTTAGAAGAAAATGAACCAGATTGCTGCTGTACTTTGCTGTGTGCATGCTTGACTTTTATATGTTTGATTTAAGATGCGCAAATGGTGATTTCTCTGATTTTGTAGTATTGTTTTCTCCACCTTTGCATTTGGAAGATGTAAAGTGGGAATAGATCTTTGAGATTTTGTGCTTTTGTGTAATTTCAGGGGGTTATGGAGTTTTCTTAGATTTGCATTAGCATGCAAGAGTAGCTAATCCATCTTTAAAATCTGAAAAATCAGACATCACCGCAGTAAAATAATTCTGCTTCATAATTCATTATCTTTGTATAATGCTGTTATTTTCCTTCAGACCAGCCACCAAGCATAAATGGGTGTTTTAAAAATAAACCTACTTCCAAAATAGAACATAAAAGGAGCATTGAAAGGGGGATCAACCGTGTGGATCAACAGTCAGCAGCATCAGAATCTATGTGTCACACGCACCATGCATGTAAAAATGGGGCTAGTCGTTCCTCCCATTTTGTTCCCGTGGGCAGCAGCTCCCTTGGCAGATATCCCTGATTACACTGATAAATGTTATTCCGGAGGTATAACTGCAGAAATGGTTGCAAATATTTACGGCGTCTCTGTAACAAGGTTCTGTTTCATTTTTAGGCCTCTATAGATTTTCTGTCCCTCAACCTACGGTACATTTGTAAGACCGAAGCAAGCATTGAAAAGATGCTCAGTGACATCAAGGTAATTCAGATCAATTGCACCAATTTACTTTGTGGTATATTCTGAAAGCAGTCTCTTGAATGGCCTGGGTGATATTAATGCAAACTTTTTTTGCATGCCTTTAGCTCAGCTTTCCTCAATTCAGTGTTTTTCAGATGTGTGTCGAACTATCAACCTCTCTCCAAAGGTTCTGTAATTGAACACATCTGGGTGAGATTCGTTGCCTGTCTGGCAATGGTGGGATTCAAAATTTTTTACTACTGGGACTGTGGGGCATGGCTTGGTGGGCGTGGCTTGGTGGGCGTGGCAGGGGAAGGATACTGCAAAATCCCCATTCCCACTCCACCCCACTAACCTGCTTTCCAGCTCCGTCCTCCTGTGAAGGGCAACAAAAGAAGACCCAGCCAATCAGCTGGGACTCAGGAGGCAGAGAATAGATGGGGGCAGGGCCAGTCATTGGTGGTATTTGCCGTTCTCCAAACTACTCAAAATTTCCACTACGGGTTCTCCAGACTGGTCAGAACTTGCTGAATACCACCTCTGCTATCTGGGGAAATCTTAACTAAGTTCCTCTGAATTAATGTGAGTGCAGTTTGGTGCTAAGCTGGCTGCAATTGATTTTACAGAACGTTCACTCAGAAACAAGCCAAAAAAATTTGCCTGAACCTTGCACCCCGCTCAAATTCCTGTATTTATTTGCAAATAAGACCTATGTTTATTGGGTTTGCTCAACTGAATAGAAAACTGCCGCCTTCATCTAACTGGGTAATAAATCCAGTATGTATGTTCTGAAATTCTATCCTTCAAATCTTTCCTTTTGATCTACAGGTGAAACTCAAAAAATTAGAATATCATACAAAAGTTCATTTATTTCAGTAATGCAACTTAAAAGGTGAAACTAATATACGAGATAGACTCATTACATGCAAAGCAAGATAGTTCAAGCTGTGATGTGTCATAATTGAGATGATTATGGCTTTTAGCTCATTACGATCCCAGGAGCTATGTTCTGAGCTCAAAAGATTACATGAATTAGGTAATATAAATCTATACATTGATTTCCGTGTTGACTGTATCAAAAGCAAGAGCCTCAACCCACGTCATAAAATCCATCACTCAAACATCCAACGTTAGGGATGCACGCCCCTTACTTCCTCCAGACCCACTACTTCATATCTTAAATGCAAACTACTTAATGCAAGAAGCCTCGCAAATAAAATGCATCCTCATCCTTCTAAGCTCAACCACATTTGACATTATATTTGTCTGTGAGACATGGTTAAATGCATCTTTCCCACACTCCATTAACACTACAAGAGAATATCAAGTTTTTCGGTCAGATCGCGAAATCTGTAGAGGTGGTGGAGTTGCTATATTCCATAAAAAGTCTCTAAATCTAAAAATGATCCAAATTATACAAGAGCTTGCTCTTCCCGAGACCATCGTCTGTGAACTGTCCTTAAACATCTCAATCCGCTTCTTACTTTGCTATTGTGCCCCTAACTATGATATAATTCATGAAAACAAGCTAACTTCACTACTGACATGGGCTGCCTCCTGCCCACACCCTCTCATTTTTCTTGGTGATCTCAACTTAACTCTTATAAATTGGACACTAAATGAATGTATATCTGAACCCATTCATACAACCCTGTACAATGCTGTTACTACGCTAGGACTGGAACAACTAGTAACCAACAATACTAGACTTAATATCTGCCTCGATCTCATCTTTTGCAACAGTTTGAATTCAATTTATGGAATGCAAATTAATGAACCCTTTTCCAACAGTGACCACAGCATGATTGACTTGTCTCAACATATGTCCTCACAAAAATCACCATAACGACAGGATCCCCAATTGTAATTTCAAAAAAGGCAACTATGATCTTATAGACAACAACCTCTCATCTCTTGATTGGCAAATTCTATTCACTGGATGCAATACTGTTGAAGACCACTACAACATATTTTTACTTGAAGTCAAAAGGGCCATCAAACTATATGTACCAATAACAACTCCCAAAACCAGAAAAAAACAAATTACTCATAACAATAAGGAAGCTCCAATCCAAAAAGAAATCCCTTTGGCAGAAAAACAAATCTGGTCACCTTGCCAACTTTAAAAGCCGATACAAAAATGTATGCCACCAGATAAAGACTAATGTACCAGTTATCACACTAAACGAGGAAAACCTGCGCACCAATTCCGCCCGTGCTTTCTACAATTTTGTAAACAACAAACTAAAAAACTCAAGGCCCATCACACCCCTAAAAGAACCAAATGGTAAAGACAGCAACAATGACACCATTAAAGCCAACCTCTTTAACACATTCTTTGGCTCAGTTTTTGTAAACAGCAATAGATCATGCCCAGTATTTCCTAGTCGAACTGCAGACAACTACAATGATCTAATACAGATCAATTTTACAAAAGACAATGTTGAAAAAGCACTATGCAATCTAAAACCATCTTTATTTATTGGACTGGACAGAGTTTGTGCCTACTTCTTAAAAAAACTATCCACTGCCATAGCTGAACCTCTAAGCATACTCTTTGAAAAATCTTTCAGGACCAGCTCCTTGCCAAAACTATGGTCACAAGCCACAGTCATCCCCATCTTCAAAAAGGGAGACCCCAGCCTAGTTGAAAATTACAGACCAATCTCTTTATGCTGCATCATCTGTAAAGTCATGGAATCAATTATTAACCAATCCATTATCCTCCACTTAGAGACAAACAACCTACTCGCTAACAAACAGTTTGGTTTCAAAAGGAAACTGTCCTGTAACCTGCAACTCTTGCACTGTAAAAACATATGGACTACACAACTTGATCAGGGCAAAGCAATTGACGCAATTTACATAGACTTCTGTAAAGCCTTTGATTCAGTGGTACACGACAAACTACTCCTAAAACTAAGGTTTTATGGTATCTCTGGATACCTGCATAACTGGATAGAAGCATTCCTGTCAAACAGGCAACAAATGGTCAAAATTGGGAGCGTCCTATCAAATCCTGTATCTGTCAACAGTGGTGTCCCTCAAGGCAGTGTTCTGGGACCAACTCTTTTCAAACTCTACATAAATGACCTCTGTGATAATATTAAGAGCAACTGCGTTCTTTTTGCTGACGATGTAAAGCTATTCAACACGACTGACAATGCTGCTACCCTTCAAAAAGACCTTGACTATATGTCAGAATGGTCAAACAAATGGCAACTTCAAATCTCAACAAATGCTCTATCTTACATATTGGCAAAAAAAAATCAAAAAATAAAATACAAGCTGAATAGTCAAGACATTGTTGATGACAAAAACTTTGTCAAGGACCTTGGAGTACTCATCTCAAATGATCTAAGTGCTAGAGCCCACTGTAACTACATAGCCAAAAAGGCATTAAGAATTGTTAACCTAATCCTGCACAGCTTTTTCTCCGGTAATATCACTCTACTAACTAGAGCATATAAAACATTTGCTAGACCAATACTTGAATACAGCTCATCAGTCTGGAACCTGCATTACATATCTGATATTAATACAATTGAGAAAGTCCAGAAATATTTTATGAGAAGAATCCTCCACTCCTCTACTCATAGCAGAATACCTTATGCCACCAGACTTGAAATTTTAGACCTAGACAACCTAGAACTGCGCCGCCTTCAGTTCGATCTAATTATAGTATATAAAATTATATATTGCAATGTCCTATCTATCAATGAATACTTCAGCTTCAACCAAAACAATACAAGAGCACTAAATAGATACAAACTAAAGATAAACCGCACAAAACTTGATTGCAGGAAATATGACTTCAGCAACAGAGTAGTCAATGTCTGGAATACTCTACCTGACTCTGTGGTTTCTTCCCCAAATCTCCAAATCTTTAACCTTAGACTGTCTACTATTGACCTTACCCCTTTCCTAAGAGGTCTGTAGGGGGCATGCATAAGCGCACCATAACGTGCCTATCAACCTTGTCCTATTGTTTCTTTTTTTTTTCTTTTTTTTCTTATTCGTATCTATTTCATATATTTATAACCATGTTTATAGTTATTCTTGTTATCTAATAATTGTTTGACAAAATAAATAAATAAATAAATAAAAATAAATAAAACCCCAAATCTATAATCTCAGAAAATTAGAATATTACATGCAATCAATAAAACAAGGATTTTTCATAGAACAATATCGGACCTCTGAAAAGTATAAGCATGCATATGTACTCAGTGCTTGGTTTGGGCCTCTTTTGCAGCAATTACTGCCTCAATGCGGTGTAGCATAGAAGCTATCAGCCTGTGGCACTGCTGAGGTGTTATGGAAGACCAAGATGCTTCAATAGTGGCCTTCAGCTCTTCTGCATTGTTTGGTCTCATGTCCCTCATCTTTCTCTTGGCAATGCCCCATAGATTCTCTATGGGGTTCAGGTCAGGCGAGTTTGCTGGTCAGTCAAGCACAGTAATCCCACAGTCATTGAACCAGGTTTTGGTACTTTTGGCAGTGTGGGCAGGTGCCAAGTCCTGCTGGAAAATGAAGTCAGCATCCCCATAAAGCTCATCCCTGCTGCTTGTGCACCTTTTTCTTCCACACTTCTCCCTTCCACATAACTTTCTATTAATGTGCTTTGATACAGCACTTTGGGAACATCCAACTTCATTTGCAATTACCTTTTTTCCCTCCTTATGGAGGGTGCCAATGATGGTTTTCTGCACAACTGTCCAGGTCAGCAGTCTTTCCCATGATTGTGAGTCTTACTGAACCAGACTGAGAGACCATTTAAAAGCTCAGGAACCCTTTGCAGGTGTTATGGCTTCATTAGCTGATTAGAGTGGGATACTTTGAGCCTTTTCACAATATTCTAATTTTCTGAGATTGTGGATTTGGGTTTTTTGTGAGCCGTAAGCCATAATCATCTCAATTACAACACATCACGGCTTGAATGATCTTGCTTTGCATGTAATGAGTCTATCTCATATATTAGTTTCACCTTTTCAGTTTCATTACTGAAATAAATGAACTTTTGCACGATATTCTAATTTTTCAAGTTTCACCTGTATATCCATTTCAGTTTAGACTAGCTATAAGTCTTTAATATTGTCCTTGGTCTAAATTGGAAGGCTTTTTCAGTTAAGGGCCATTCTGATGAGCTGTCTGAGGATTTTGACCAAACATAGCAAGAAAACTTAGGGTGAGGAAGGATGTTGACGGACAGTTTTATTCATATATCGTTAATCACCAGGATTTACCAAATCTTTCTATAGTCTTAGGAAAAGCAATGTTACCTTTTTTACAGGGAGTAATTCTCCCTTAAATAAGAGTTGATCGGTCGATTGTCAAGTCATTCAATTCCTAGCAACCATACAGATTTTTTCCAGGATGATCTTGACTCTCACTTAAGACTAACACATGTCATGTTTTAATATGTTTTAATATTTAATACTTAATATGTTTTGGTTTCAGCATCTCATACATGATAAGGATGTTCTATTCTTTACTCTAAATGTCTCTGGATGTTCTTCTCTTGAAGAAAACCTATCTACAACAGTGGCTTCCATTTTCAGTGGTATGTTTCTTACATGGGAAGGACAAGTTGTGCTTTTGTGTGGCATAGACGCATATGGATTAGGGAAGCCAAAAAAAAAAAAAAAAATTTTCCTACTGCACATGGGAATGCTATTTATTTCCAGGGGAAGGGGGAAATCTTTTTGTGGTTGAGGGCAATAACATCACCTTAGAGCAGGGGTGGACAAACTTTTTGGCTCGGAGGCCTCATTGACTTTTAAAATTTGACAGACAGGCTGGGTCAGCACAAGATACGATACATATAAAGAACTGCAAAATCTCCGCAAAATCAAGTCACTGCGCCTAATGCACCACCTGGTGTCGAAATGCCTGTCATTACAGGTCAAAATCAAATGAATGCAATCATTTAATCATTCACATCAAACCTTAATTCTGTACCAATCTTCGGCGGGCCGGATTAAAAAGACCAACGGGCTGGATGTGGCCCGTGGGCCGTGGTTTGCCCACCCCTGCATTAGAGGATAATCTTATTATATGAACTGCAAAATAAGCAGTTTCTCTTGAGTGTGATGGGGGATATTACACCTAGCAGAATGTTTCGGACCTCTCTTGCTAAAGAGCGGATATGCCTAGGAAGGGCCGGTAGTCAAACTGAAAGGTCTTACTTCTTCTTGCTTATCTATTGATTGCATTATTCTGTTCTCTATTTTCCAACCATACATGAAGCCGAAGCACAGGTGAAAGGCTATGATGTGACCTCCTTCTTAGAGAACTTAACTGCTCCAAAAGCAAGGTATGAAATATTGATATATATTTTTTTACCTTATGAAGATGTGTGATTAAATAAATTGCATGGGTTTTTGTCAACGGTCTTACGAGGTGCAATTGCAATGAAGTAAGCTAAAGTACTACAAACTAAACTAAATTATAATAAATATTTGGTAAGTGCAAGCATTTTGGTCACCACTTCGATATAATGCCACTGCAGGAAATCAAAAATATATTTTGCATTAGCTTCAGAAATCCTGTGCTTGACCACAATTGTGTTTTCGACTTCAGGGGTGCTCTATAAGTGGCCAGATAGTTTTAGCCCAACTGCTTTAAACTTCAACTGTTTTGGAAAGAGCAATCTGACAGTTCAAGAGATAGCAAACATTGTATTGCCTAAATGTGTTACTGCTATTCTTAATGTCATGCAAAATATTGTGGTGATGGTTTGGCTGCTTTGAAAATAAGGAACCCTGGGATCCAGCCAGGAATTGGGAAGGGGATAAACCTATTCTTAAAGCCACACCCCACTGCTTTCCTCCTAAATTACCCCTGCATTATCAGATCAAGAGAAGTCAGTCCTACAACTCGCTGCTGTGCATTGTTTGACTATCTGATAACTTTGTCTGTCTGGTAAACACGGCCTGCTCCCAGAACCCTTATGAGCTCTTATTCATGCGGCTCTCATAAAATGGCTTCACCCATATTAACTCGATCAAGAGAAGACATTTTGCCCCAATTCTGAAATAGTTCCTTTCATCAACAGCGTCTTCGTGGTGTATACAGGTAGTCCTTGACTTACAACCATTCATTTAGTGACTGTTCAAAGTTACAACGGCACTGAAAAAAAGTGACTTAGAACCGTTTTTCACACTTATGACCGCATCCCCCATGGTCACCTGATCTACATTCGGATGCTTCGCAACTGACTCACATTTATGAGGGTTGCAGTGTCCCAGGGTCATGTGAGCGATTTTTGAGATCTTCTGACAAGCAAAGTCAAGGGGCAAACCAGATTCACTTAACAACCATGTTACTTGTTTAAGAACCGCAGTGCAAAAAGTCATAAAATGGGTCAAAACTCATTTAACAACATAAATTTTGGGCTCAATTGTGATCGTAAGTCAAGGACTACCTGTACACTCTCCTTCCCAATCCAGTGTATACATCACGGACATTGTTGCTTTCAAGTTGGGCTGGATCAGCTCTCTCGATGCCCTGGAGCTGATGATCAAAATCTTTGGAGGTCTTCAGATTCAGATGCAGGTTTCTTTTTATTAGGAGCGAACGTGTCGGCATGACCTGTATGAAACCGATTCTGAAACACATAATTCACTATCACCCTTTGACCCTGGTTTTCCTCCACCCTCAACGAAACACATTCGTAGCCAAGAGTCATCCGTCACATTCTCCAATTAGAGATTTGCACAGCAGAAATTCCAGTAGCTTAGTTATAATCTTTGCAAGATAAGAATGGAATGCATTTTTGGTTCCAAACTGCTGTATTGCTCTTTCAAATTTCTTTTTCCCCCTTCCTTCTGATCATGGCAATTCTAAAATATGCATAGAAATGTTTTATGAGTTGACAATGTGCGTATATGTGTGTGTATTTGTACGTGTATGTATACATACATATACACATGCATGTGAACACATTTTCACATACAGACAAAATATTAACTAATATGGTTTGAACTTTAAAATATAAACATCTCGCTTACCAATGAAGAGATAACTCATTGGGCCAGCAGGCTTTCTATGTTTTAGTCTGATTTATGGAAACAAATCTAGACTAGTTATCAGAATGATCAACATGCATCATACTGTTTGGCAGAAATTCCACCCCTTTGCATACATGGGTGTAATGTGCAAAAAGGCAGAATTTGCATTGAAGTATCACAATGCCAATTCAACATTTCTTTTGAATTTCTTTATTCGTGGTGGGTTTTACGAAAATCTATACACAATCCTTACAGATTGTTCTTATCCTAAACCCTGGATGATTCTCCCAACAAATATAATGCTTTTCACATTCAGTTTTGCATAACATAATCTGTGTTTTGAAATAACTTGCCAAAATTTCATTTGAATGAATTCATTTGAAGGAGTCATTATAAAAAGTGCCGTTTTTGATATAGTCACATTTTTTTTTGAAGCTCCCACAAGGATCCAGCTAGTCAACCAAAGCAGAAGGAAGACTCTACACGTGCTGCGACTCCACTTTCAAACTATCAAAAGATTTGGGAAAAATTTGCTAACCAAACTGAGCTGGAAAGAGACTCCTTTTTGGCAGATACGTTTCCTAGTGGTTTTCTCTGGGGTACATCAACAGCATCCTTTAATGTTGAAGGAGGCTGGGCAGAAGACGGGAAAGGTGAGAGTATCTGGGATCGATATGGACATCAAGGCCAAATCCATAAGAATCAAACCGCCGATGTTGCCTGTGATAGTTACCGCAAGACCGAATATGATGTTTATCTGCTTAGAGGCCTTCGCTCCAAGATCTACAAATTTTCTATATCATGGCCTAGGATTTTTGCAAATGGGGACAACAGCAGCCTGAACCCTCGAGGAGTGAGTTACTACAACAAACTCATTGACAACTTGCTGGATTCTGGCATTGAACCCATGGTGACCTTGTTCCACTGGGACCTTCCTCAAGTGCTGCAGGACTTTGGTGGTTGGCAGAATGAAAGCATTATTGATGCTTTTGTCAACTACGCAGCTTTCTGTTTTGCCACGTTTGGAGATCGCGTCAAACTCTGGATTACCTTCCATGAACCCTGGGTCATTAGCTATGCTGGCTATGGTACCGGGCAGCATCCTCCAGGAACCATCAGTCCAGGCATAGCATCCTATCAGGTACCAGAAGCCATAAAACTTGCCCTAATTTAAATGTTGAAGGACAAGAACTCATTGTTAATCGCTTCTTAATCTCAGCCTTGAATTAATCACCTATTGGTTTGAAAAGAAGAATGAGAAATCCAAGTCTTGAAGACTAAGATCAAACTGCCATGTGTTTAAGAGAGAAGCGGGCAACCAGTGACCGATAGATTGCACATGGTGCCAACTTCTCCTTCATGGTCTCCAAAACACCCTCAGAGCCCTTCAAATATATCTGGAATGGGAAGGGCTAACCTCTTAAACCCGGCTTAGCCTATTGTAACCCATCTACTTGCTATGGAGGGTCTTGTAACTGTGCTGAAGCCCTAAAGAAATGGGCTGAGAAAAATCCTTAGATTTTCCTTCTCGGAGTATGGTTAGTCAAGCTTAAATCATGAGCCCCAATCGATGAACATTAGAACCTGCTGATATAATATAACCTGGATTAGCATTCTTTCATATTCCTTCTTGTCAGAGATACTAGCATCTAAATTTGTAACCTTGAATAAAACAGAACCTTGGTGGCGCAGTGGTTAGAGTGCAGTACTGCACGCTACTTCTGCCAGCTGCCTGCAATTTGGCAGTTCGAATCTCACCAGGTTCAAGGTTGACTCAGCCTTCCATCCTTCTGAGGTGGGTAAAATGAGGACCCTGATTGTTGGGGGCAATATGCTGATTCTGTAAACCACTTAGAGAGGGCTGTAAAGCACTGTGAAGCGGTATATAGGTCTAAGTGCTATTGCTATTACTATTCAGTGGAGTAATGTCTAACTGGATTTATTCTATGTTTCTGTTTTCCAACAGGTGGCTCATATCATCCTCCTGGCACACGCTCGAACTTGGCATGTTTACAACATGCAGTATCGTCCCCAACAGCAAGGGAAGGTTGGCATAGTATTGAACTCTGACTGGGCTGAACCCCGAAATCCTAGATCTCCCCAGGATTTGAAAGCAGCTGAGCGCTACTTGCAATTCATGTTGGGTTGGTTTGCTCACCCAATATTTATTAATGGTGATTATCCAGAGATCCTGAAAACCCAGATCGAGGAGACAATTCAGTGGTGCTCTGCCGACATTGCCAAGCTCCCCACGTTCAGCGACGATGAGAAGAAGATGGTGCAAGGAACAGCTGACTTCTTTGGCCTTTCTCATTATACTTCTAGACTTGTTGGTGCTTTGGATAATCAAACCTGCAATTCAGATTATGAGACTATTGGAGGCTTTTCCCGAGAGGTGGATCCTTCTTGGCCGACCACAGCGGCACCTTGGTTGTATGTTGTGCCCTGGGGGTTGAGGAGATTGCTGCAATTTGTGTCTGAAGAATATACAAACACTAGTATCCCCATTTACATTGCGGCAAACGGTGCACCTATCAGTGATGGAGTTGATACGATTAACGATACTGCAAGGCTAGATTACTATCGTCTCTATATCAATGAGGCCTTAAAAGGTAAAGAAGGTTTTCATGTTGAGTGTCTGAAAGCTTGGTGAATATTTGGCTCTTTCACCAGATGCTAGTTTTTAGTGTCCCACATATAGTTTATTTATCTTGGCCTAAAATTTGCATGTCTTCTTGAGCAACCCAAAGATCCGGGAAGGCATACAGTCCCTACGACCTCAAAGATCATTCTGCTAAAACCCATTGGCAATGTAACCATTTTAGGCGCGAGGTTTAACACACCTATTCCTTCTTAATCGACTTCACATACTCTCAAAACATGCATAAAAATGATTGAATGTCACTTCTTATCTCCCATGCTTTCAGGAACCAAATCATTAAAACACATACAAAATGTGGCTCCAGTTGCAAAGGTTTTTCTATAAAACTGCCAAGGGGTATTTTTCACTTTCTATAGTGATTTGATTTCAATCACAGCTGTGGCCTTCTTTAAGAGAGTGCCTCATTGCCTCCAATTGACCGCATCAAGGCTGGGCACCTTACTTGAGTTTTATACTTTGGTGGAAATATCTTCTGCTCAGAAGATTGTCGCAGTCTAGTGAAATAACTGATATGATGCAGTTCTAATCTCGTTGCCCAGAAATGGAGAGCTACTTCATTTCTTAAAGCTGTGCCAGAAAGAAGCATTCCTTCAAGACTTCATATTGGCCTGTTATTTATCCTGGCTTGAAACATACAAAGCTGTTGTTTGCCTTCTCATACCAAACCATGAAAGATGGGTGGCACTGGCTTGGAGTCTACGGCTGAGCTTCAGGTAGCACAAAGGATTGGCAGCCATCACTGGGAAAGCCAATCAACTGATACAATCAAAGGCCGTTTCTTATGCATAGTCTTATGGGTTAGACAGTAAGGCCTAGTGAAGCTTGATGGGTAATGCTGGAATGCCTGGCCCCTTGCAATGAAATCCTTGATCAAAGAAGCATCTCTGCCATCTGGTCACTACAGCATTAGTGAGGATGTCTGCATCCCGGTGAATCAGAGACTGCCAGTGTAACTGTCAAAAGGCTTTACTTACTTTTTAAAATGTTAGCGTACTTATCCAGCTGTGAGTTATATATGACACAATCCATTATAATTTTTTTAGCTTTAAGAGGTTTACTACCCTATCACTCCCTTTTATGCTTTTTGGAGATCAAAAATGTACAACAGAAAGGGTTGGCTGTGGTTCCCCAAAGTCTTGGGTACAATCCTAGAACTTTTCCAAAACCAAAGTATAACTTTTAACAGAGGAGTAATTTTACTTCAAGCTAAATAAAATGGAATATACTGTAGAGGAAGGAGTGGCAGAACCTGGGGGCGGAGTTAAAAGAGATATCAGTCTAGAATCCCTACGTAGCCACCAGTGAACTAAAATCAACCCTCTTTGAATTCCCTGGACCAGAGGTGGGATTCTACTGATTCGGCCCGATTCGGGCGAATTGGTATCTCTGAGGATCAGCTGTGAGCAAACCGTTCATTCTGACGATCAGCTGTTGGGACCACCTGCCCACCCCAGCTCTAGGCTGTGCTTTATACCCTGTTTTTCAAGCTCAGCTGATTTGCATGGCACAGCGTTTTGCTGCACACCAGCTGTTTAACACACAGAGATTTCTGGAGAAGGTCAGTAGCAAACTTTCTGCATGCACACAAAGCATGCGCTCACCGAACCGGTTGTTACACTGGTTGAATTGTACTCCTGCCCTGGACCCTTATCTAACTCCAAGCAGGAGTTCTGTGTGCATTTAGCAATAGATCAGTTGAATTGTATCTTCATCTGTGGACCTGATCTTTCATGCCTGATAGGTTCTGATCCTACTGAGAGACCATCTATGGCCTGCACATATTTACATCACTTTGTGTAGATGAAAGAAGGATAAATTCTGTGATTATTCTGTGTATTTTACAGGACTGAATGAAAAATGAAATAAATTGTTTGTTCTTTCCTCAACAGCTGTAAAGGAAGATGGTGTGAATGTTCAGGCATATATTGCCCGATCACTCATTGATGGCTTCGAAGGCATGTCAGGTTATAGTCAAAAATTTGGCCTCCATAATGTGAATTTTGAAGATCCCAATAGACAAAGGACGCCAAGAAAATCTGCATATTTCTTCTCTGCTGTGATTGAAAATAATGGATTTCCTAATGCAACCATAAAACATAGCCAGCCATTCAGAAACTATTTTTCCAGGTCCTCAAAGTTGTCTAATTTGCCAGCATCTGAAGTCCCATCAAAAGCAAAGATAGTTTGGGAAAAGTTTTCTGGTCAGACTAATTTTGAAAGAGACATGTATTTTTATGACACTTTCCCAAAAGATTTTCTGTGGGGTGTTTCCACTTCAGCCTATCAGATCGAAGGAGGCTGGAATTCAGATGGAAAAGGACCTAGCATATGGGATAACTTTACTCATACGTCAGGAAAAATTAACAACAATGATACTGGAGATATAGCTTGTGACAGCTACAATAAAGTAGATGAAGATCTTTATTTATTGAGAGCCTTAAAGGTGAACAGTTACCGCTTCTCCTTCTCATGGTCTCGAATTTTTCCAGATGGCAGAAACCAATCTATAAATAGTCATGGGGTGGATTATTACAACCGATTGATCAATGGTTTACTGGCTGCAAATATTACACCAATGGTCACTTTATACCATTGGGATCTGCCTCAAGCTCTCCAAGATATTGGTGGGTGGGAAAACCCTGATCTGATTGAATTGTTTAATAGTTATGCCGACTTCTGTTTTCAGACTTTTGGAGATAGGGTTAAGTTCTGGATTACTTTCAATGAACCTGTCATAATTTCATGGTTTGGCTACGACACAGGAGCCCATCCTCCAAGTGTAGAAAACAATCCAGGTGATGCCCTCTATAAAGTTGGCCATACAATACTGAAGGCTCATGCCAGGGTATATCATACATATGACCAGAAGTACAGGAAAAGCCAGAAAGGTGTAATTTCCATAAGTCTCAACATTGACTGGGTTGAACCGAAGACACGGAGAAATTCCCGCAATATAGAAGCAGCGGATCGGTTCCTCCAGTTCACTGCAGGATGGTTTGCACATCCAATTTTTAAAAACGGTGATTATCCAAGTGCCATGAAATGGACAGTAGGAAACAGGACTAATTTACAGAAACGGCCTGTCTCCCGTCTTCCAGTTCTCACTGAAGAAGAGAAACAATTTATCCGGGGCACAGCAGATGTCTTCTGCTTAAACTATTATACTGCCAGCTTTATACAGCACAAAACCACCAAGTTGAACCCATTTTCTTATGAAATGGACCAAGAACGAGCTCTGGAGAGAGATTTTTCATGGCCAGCCACAGCCCTGAAAAATATGCCAGCCGTGCCCTGGGGGCTCCGGAGGCTCCTTAACTGGATCAAAGAGGAATATGGCAATCTACCTATTTACATCACTGAAAATGGAATTGGAATAAAAGCTAAGTCAGATGTTGATGACATCAAAAGGATATTTTATTATAAAACCCACATTGATGAAGCTTTGAAAGGTAATGAAAATAATAATAATAATAATAATAATTTATTACATTTATATTTTGCCCAACTTCCAGCAAGTCTTGATGCTGCTTTAATAATAGAAATTTAATATCTGCTTGTAGGTACCAGATAGGAAGCATGGATACATTTTTGGGTTCAGTGGTTACTGGACAACCTTGGAAAGTTTAGACTTATCGTGGGCATCCTGACCATCTGGAAAAGATGACTGGTCATGGAACATCTTCAGTTCCAAGAGGGAACCTTGAGTACTGTGCACTAATTCAGCTCATCTTTGCTCTTTTCGGAGTAATGAATACATGCCCAGAGGCATTTCTGTAAATAATCTAGACAGGCTACTTTGCTTTGCTTTATGCAAGCTATCAATTTAATTTTATTTTATTAGAAAAATCTAAACAAAAAAAGAGTAAAGCCACATTTGACACATTGCTTATAGTCATCTTATTACTCACTAAACTAATCCAAGCTTTAAATAATGTTGAAAGGAAGCAAAGTACATAGGGCTCAGTGGAATTTAGCACTGGCAAAATATCGTTAGGATTGCACTGTTAGATAAAAATATAAATTAAGAGTGACTACATTTAAGGTTAATTAAATCAAAGATGCAAACCTACATTCCTGACAGTAAATGCTATTGACCATGTAGGAATTCAGAATAAAAGTATGCAGTGTTATGTCAGTCATCATTTTAAGTACAATAAGTCTTAATTAACTTTTCAATTACTTTTTCATCTGAAAAATCATTGTTTTCTGGAATAACCATTGAATGTTCGTAATGCTTTCTTAGAGGAAATTTTTCATGTATTTTATGAGATTTTGCCTCCTGCAAATGAGGTTATTTCTTCAGAGTTCAAAGGGATTTTCTCCCAGAAAAATACATGTAGGGTTGTAGCCTAATCCAACAGAAGTTTTGCCCAACAATTCTGAGAGTTGTAGACCCAGCATGTCTGAAGAATCAAGTTCAGAAAGGCTGCATTGCTGTGTGCTGAAATTTGTATTGGTCATGGATCTTGAAATCTGGGAGTAAATCCCTTGAAATTGCATGTACATATGATTGTAGGCTGAAGGACAATTTACTTCCAGCTATCCCCAAGATTGTTACCTATACATAAGTCAACAGGAGTAAATCATCCAGTCTTTTTCTTGTTTCTTAACTTTTTTAGTATTATAGTAAACATACCCAATACAAAACCAGTGTTTTGATTTTCTGTTTTTTTTTTTAGCCTACAAACTGGATGGAGTAAATCTTCGAGGGTTTTTTGCTTGGTCACTTATGGATAATTTTGAATGGCTGCACGGTTACGAGCCAAGATATGGCCTACATCAGGTTGATTTTGAAAATCCAAACAGGCCTAGAACCCCTAAGGAGTCTGCTATATATTATTCAGAAATCATACGTAACAACGGATTCCCGCTGTCAAAAGAGGATGAGTTCCTTTATGGAGAATTTCCCAAGAACTTCTATTGGAGTGTGGCCACAGCAGCATATCAGGTTATTAAAACCAACATGCCTTGATATAGAACTTTATTAAGAACATTGTGGAAATAGTTGGGAGATTTGTTAGATCTGGCCTGGATAGCCACTGGCTGGAAAGCTAGAATGCCTGTATGAAGTGATGGTAGTGGAAAATTAAGGGATTCATCAACCAGACTAGCACGGAGAGGTCTCGGGGTAGGGAAGAGTTTGGGAGATTACAGCCTGGGATTGGAAGAGTGAAAAGGAACGGGAGAGTATGGCAAATGAATTACACTGACAGAGGGCAATAATCACTTTCAAGACTTACTTGAATTTTTGGATGCCAGATTGCTGGGAGACGTGGGCTCAGGTTGCTATTACTAGATGCCAAATCTTGTCATAATGAGGTCTTAATCCAGGGTGGGCTGCTGGAGGTTCGGGAGAGCCCCTAGCTAAGATTCTGTGCAATTCAAAGAACCCCCCAATCCCATTCCTGACCGGCTTCACCCCGCCCCTCCCAGGAACTCCATGTGGCCCATTTTGGTTGCAGGTAAGTGTAGGGCGCGTGCAGAGGCTCAGGGAGGGTGAAAAACAGGCCTCCCAGAAGTTTGGGAAGACCGGAAATGGGCCCATTTCCAGCTTCCAGAGAGCCTCTGGAGCCCAGGGAGGCTGTTTTCGTTCTCCTGGAGGCTCGAGGAAAGTCTTCTGAGCCTGGGGAGGGCAAAAATTCACCTGCCCCACCGGGGTGCAGGAGGCCGACTTGGCCACGCCCACCATGACCACACCCACCCAACAACCAGACAGAGAACCTGTTGCTAAAATTTTTGAAGCCCACCCCTGTCTTAATCCTCTGCTATGTAGAAAGGAAGTGCAAACAGACCTGTACGTATAGCTGTCTTCTAATTTGGAGATATTTCTGTTTCAGAAGCTATAAGTCTAAGGAAGGGCGAGAGAAGAGCAATAATCCTCTTGGCTATATAATCCGATGCTTTGCTTGGCTAGTGGTACTGCTTGTTGATCACCCAACAATAGCTGGCCAGCAGTCTCCTTATCTGAGCTGCTGGATTTGATAACTTGATGGGGATTGGATTCCCCATCTGGCCGTGCTAGGGAACATCAGAATCCATTCACTCTGAGAGTGGGACTGCTTGAGAAATTCATAGACTATATGGCAGAGATCGGATTCTCCCTGGTAGTAATTGGTGTAACTCAGACATGTATGTGATCCTAGGCTGGTTCTAGGATGTCTGGAGTATTTTCTTCTTCTTCTAGATTAGTATTTATCTTGATGATGGTGAGCTACCCCTTTAATGATAAGTCAAATCCCATAATATAGAAACATGCTGATTAAGACCAGATGAAATTTATAAGATTAACAGGAATTCTTCCTTTGCTCAGACTCCAGGAAAACAGTGGCAGGAAGGGAGACATGCAACACTGCTAGTTCTTAAACTCTCTCTCTCTCTCTCTCTCTCTTTTTCTTATAGTCAATATACAGTAATCATACTGCCAATTTTGTACTTAGTAGTGAGTCACTGAAGTGAGAGCCAGTGTGATCTAAGTATTAGTCTAGAATTGGTCATAGCTGGGTTCAAATTCCTGTTCAACCCTAAAGAGCCTCTGTCTTTCTCATTCTCTTCGTCTAAACTTACAGTCTTTTGGTGAGGATCAAAACAGGGTTCAATGTCTATGGAGTTTCTCAGTCATGGTTGTGCTTTTTCAGGAGGCAACTGGACTTTTCTTGTTTTTTCTTTAAAAACATTTTGCTTCCAAGAAGTTTCTTCAGCTCTGACTGGATGGTGGGGAATGGAAGGATTTATATTTCATGCAGACAGCTGGTCATTTGCATTCTTTTAGAGAGTTGTTAAGGCCAGCTGGAGGTTTTTCTGTGTCCTCAAGATTACCTGAGTAGTGCAAATGGCTCCTGTAGTCTGCAATTTTCCCCCTTTTGGAAATCCATTCGTACTCCCACACCATTCAAAGGGTATTCATCTCAAAGTGCGTGGCTAAAAGTCCATTCCCCACCATCCAGACAAAGCTGAAGAAGCTTCTTGGATAATCTTTGGGACAACCATGACCTGGATGATAGAATCTCTACAGACTTATACAATTTGGGATGAACACCCTTTGAATGGTATGGGAGTATGGACAGATTTCCAGAGGGAAAAAAATTGCAGATTACAGGAACCATTTGCACTACTCAGGTGATCCTGAGGACACAGATAAACCTCCAGCTGGCCTTAACAATTCGCTAAAAGGATGCAAATGACCAACTGTCAGCAAGGAATATAAATCCTTCCATTCCTCACCATCCAGTTAGAGCTGAAGAAGCTTCTTGAATGAGAAGCGAAATGTCTTCAAAGAAAAAACAAGAAAAGTCCAGTTGCCTCCTGAAAAAGCCCCTTTGGGACATCAAAATAGGGTGATTATATGTGTGATTATTTCCTAGCCGGGAAGATGTAATAAACCTAAGGTACACAACTTTCCTTTCATTAAAGATTGAAGGAGCTTGGAGAGAAGATGGAAAAGGCCTCAGTATTTGGGACCAGTTTGCTCACACGCCTTTGAAAATCGACAGCGATGACAATGGAGATGTAGCTTGTGACAGCTACCACAAAATAGAGGCAGATGTGGCTGCCCTGAAAGATATCAAGGTGACCCATTATCGTTTTTCAGTCTCCTGGCCTCGCATTCTCCCAGATGGGACCACCAAGCAGATCAATGAAGCTGGCCTGAAGTACTATGAAAGACTTGTAGATGCACTTCTTGCAGCAAACATCCAACCTCAGGTAAAAAAAAAAAACCCAGCACGGGATTCCTTACAATCTACTACAGCAGGGGTCTCCAACCATGGCAACTTTATGCCTGGTGGACTTCAACTCCCAGAATTCCTCAGCCAGAAAAAGCTGGCTGGGGAATTCTGGGAATTGAAGTCCTCCAGGCTTAATGTTGCCAAGATTGGAGACCCCTGTACTACAGCATATATTTGGAAGGGGGAATAAGATGTCATCTTTCAGGTTTACAATGAGATGATTTGTTATATACAGGTACTCTTCAATTTATGACTACAATTGGGGCCAGAATCTCCATTGCTAAGGAAGGGGATTGTTATGGGGATTGTGCCCAGTTTTATGGCCTTTTTTGCGACAGTTGTCAGTGAACCATTGCAGTTGTTAAGTGAATCACATCGCCGTTAAGTGAATCTGGCTTTCCCCATTGACTTTGGTTGTCGGAAGCCAGCTGGAAAGGTCGCAAATGGTGATGATAATGATGATTGTAGGACGCTGCCGTCATTGTAAATATATGCCAATTGCCAAGCACCCAAATTTTGATTGTGTGACCGTGGAGATGCGGCGACAATTATCAGTGTGAGGACCAGATGGAGGTCATTTTTTTCATGGTGACTGTAACGTCAGTCACGAAACATATGGTGGTAAGTCAAAGGCTACCTATAGTAAACATTGTGTGAGCGTTCCAGGAAACCTCCATTCCAATCAGTAACTTTGAGACAAACATAATCTCAACAGTACCTTTATTAGAATAGCACCTGGCACATCTCTGAAATCCTGAAACTAAAAATTTCCTGGACTTCCCACAATATCCCAAACTACAGTCCATCCCCCTGTTCTCCCATCATCACATCACATGGACCAATCCCCATCTGTCTCAGTGTAAGATCCTTTTTCTCTGCTGCGCCACACTTAATAACCTTGAACTAGGAAAAGAATTTTACTTGTCTAGTAGAACTACTCAATTGGAATCACTCCCTCCCAACTTCTCAGGCTATGTGGCAGCGTGGAATATGGCTTCCAGAGCTGACAGGTTGGGTAGGAACACCCCATCTGACTCCGTTGTTACAGCCTCAACCCCTCACAGCTTCAATCTCAAACAGGCAACTGTGGACGCCCCTTTCTTAAGAGGTCCTTAAAGGGGGCGTGCATAAGTGCACCAGCGTGGTTACCGTCCCTGTCTTACTGTCCCCATTTATCTGTATTTACTTCCTTGTTCTTGTTTATGTTTATATTTATACTTGTTATCTTGTACATGTTTGACAAACAAACAAACAAATTAATTAATTAATAAATACTCAGAAGAACTAGGTACAGGAACTGCTTGTCTTATGACCATAACTGAGCCCAAAATTTCTGTTGTTAAGTGAGACATTTGTTAAGTGACTTTCCCCCCCATTTTAGGACCTTTCTTGCCACAGTTGTTAAGTGAATCATTGCAATTGATAAATTAGTAACCTGGTTGTTAAGTGAATCTGGCTTCCCCATTGACCTTGCTCGTCAGAAGGTTCCACATGACCCAGGGACACAGCAATGATCATAAGTATGAACCAGTTGCCAAACATCTGAATTTTGATCACATGATCCTGGGGCTGATACAAAGATCGTGAACATGAAAATTGGTCATAAGTTGCTTTTTCCAGGGCCGTTATAACTTTGAACGGCCACTGAATGAACTGTGATATTTTGAGGACTACCTGTAGTGTCAAAATTAAAATAAACAGAATCTCACAAGAATATGCATGTTTGTGAGATTTGCACTGATCTTTCTTATTTCCACCCAAATACCTTCCAAGAAGCCAAATACAGTATAATTGCATGCACAAGGTCTCTTCATTGATAGCATTAAAGGTTTCAATGTGGAAGTATTTCACGTTTGTTGACTTGAGAATTATATATTTGTACCCCATGACTTGGCTGTGGTTTTGTAGAAGAATTTAATAAACCATTTCTCCCAAAGTAATGTTTTACACAGGTAACTGGTTACTCGAACAAAAAACAATAGACTCTTGTAAATGCATGTCTTAAATTCTAGATAACCTTGTACCACTGGGATCTCCCTCAGGCCCTCCAGAACATTGGAGGGTGGGAAAATGAGGCCATCATTCCAAAATTTAAAGATTACGCCGACCTCATTTTTCAAAGATTGGGAGACAAGGTGAAATTTTGGATAACTTTAAATGAGCCTTACGTCATTGCCAACCTTGGTTATGGTTATGGAGTGTCTGCACCAGGTAAGGTCTTTTGCCAATTCTTCTTGTTTATAGGAGGAAGGCTTTAGAAAAACCGGAGGATATTGTTATTAAAATTTCTGTTGACCCAGGATAGTTTTGCAATTAATAGAGAACTTAAAATTCCAGGTTTAGTCTCATGTATAAGTAGCCTTTAGTCTTTAAAGTGTTGCTGAATTATACATTTCGGCCACTTCAATCATCAGGACCAATTGTGAAGGATTCATGGGGTTCTTACCCTTAACCCAGTATGCCTGACTCTTCTAAACACAGCATCAGGAACAGGAGTAATTGATGGAAGACATTAATGGAGCTAAGAGCTTTGGGGAAACCAAGTAGCAAATCTGTTCTTAGATGAACAAGTTCTGAATTGTGTCTTGGGTCTGTTAATCAATCTTGTTAGAATGTCTGAGAAAAGTCACAGGAAACATTATCCGATAGATTTCTATTTTTTTTTTTAATAAACCAGTTTTATTCAGTTTTCCATATTTTAACGTCTCTTTTTAGTGAACAGCATGATTACAGGTTTCACATATACATACAAATATGACCATGGTTACATATTCAATTTTTATATCGAATTCCATATCTTAACAGTGCTTTTATACATTTTCTATTTTATTGTATTATTCTAAATATTTATCTCATTATTTAATTCACCTATGATAACTTCATAATCATTATACTTTAGTACTTTTAACTGTCACATTTGTATATTTCATCTTAAATTCTAATTAAAAAAGACACTTCTATAAATTGGTTTCCCCCCTGAAATCTCAATATAAGTGTGCCACCTCTAAGTTATAAATTCATTTATTTTCACCCCTTTTAAATCTCGTTAAAATATTTAACATTATTACCTAAAACATTAAACTTAATAATCCCTTTAAAACTACATAGCATATATAAATCAGATTCTGCATGGTTTTTCTCCTTTTAAATTTCATTAAATTTCCCCCCCACCCCAAAAAGGACATATTAATCTACTCATTCAAACAGTCAAACAGTCCTAAACCCTAAAGTTAATTCCATTTCAGTTCTGCTCCTATATTATTTCATTTATTTCCATATATTTAATATACATATTCCATTCATTATTCCATTCATATTTAAACCAAAAGAGCCAACATTCCAATCTTAAAAATATTTCAATATATCTAATATACTTATTTATTACAATTATCTCTCTACATAAAGAGGAAGAGCATTAGATTCCATTATCCAAAAAATAACAATTCTGTTTTTCCATCTAGTCAGTCTATATGTCCCTATTTCGTAACTATAAATTTATTTATATTACCCCTCAATACCTTGCAGAATCCCCTTTCTATATAATAATAATCACCCGTTATCTCTGTGTCCAACTGAGGATTTCCCCATTTTTTTTACAATTCCCATATTTCTTTGTTTCCAAATCCTGTTTCTTGTCCCTTCTTTCCTCCTGTCTTTTCTCCTTTGTTCTTTCACTCCAGTTTTTATCCCTCTCTCTATTTATAGCTTCCTTTTGCCCTTTGAATTTCTGCTGACTCTTTTTCCCTTTTTAAATTTTCGGGTATTCCCCTTTTTATTTAATTTCTTAAATTTCCTGTATTTATTTCCAACTCTTTTCTTCTTTCTTTCAAGAGTTCTTGGTTCTCGATGGTCACTAAAGATGGCCCCTTCTATGATTTGCTCCACCTCCTCTTCTGCCTTTTGTCTTTGTTATTCATATTCTGCTGTCGCATTTTCAATAAATTTTAAAGCAAAACCCAGCAATTCACCTCATTCTTGTAGTGTTTCTTTCATTTTTCTAAGTTCCATTTTTAATGCAAGAAGAGAAATCGCCATTTTACAACTTTCTGATTCACAATTTAATCCAAGTAATATCTTTAAAGTTTATTTCCAACAGTCAACTTTTCTTCCTCTCAAGTTTTTAAGTCTCTGGTAATCCAGTGCCAAATTCATGTCAGAATCAGCAACTAATCCAAAGGCAGAATCTTCCTAATTCTTTCTTTGTTACAATATTTTGATTTTTCAAAGTTCTTGCTTTATTGTATCAATTTCCATGCAATTTCAAGAAACAAGAGTTTTTTAAAAGAAAAACAAGTTGAGTTTAACTGAGATGGCACTCTTTATTATGCTAAGTCTTCACCCCCTCTTTTCTTTTTTCTTCTGTATTATTCAGAGCTTTTTAAACCACAATTTTCCAACAAGAAAAAGATCAAATCCCGTTGATATTAAATTTCCTCTTTAACAGTCTATAGTTCAGCTTTATTAGTGCCAATATAAAATCAAAGTATACTTATCCAAGTTGATTATATAGTTCCTTCCCCAGCTTCTACCTTTTGTGGTTCCGAAGCCCCGATGCTGTCAAAAGCAATTAACACCTTTTTTCTCTCTCTCTTCGCCACTTAGATTCTTAAAGATTCTTTGAAATGTTAATCCTGGGGGTATCTTCCATTTGATTATATCATCCCATTCCTCCTGCTGTTCACTTCTTTCTCTCTCTCCTGCACAATCTTATTCTAGTCTAATCTTCCCCTTCAGGGTGGCCATTTTAGACCACCATTTCAGGCGTCTTCGGAACGGAGCAATTGTCAAGCCGGGGAGGGGATTTGCGACTCCCCTCTACCCAGCTGAAAGTCTCCCCTTCCTTTGCCACCCCTACGAGGTAGCTTCTGCCCTGAATCCAAAGGATTGGGGCTCTCCGACGCTGAAGCACGAACCAAAGCTGTGCATGATCGTGGTCAGCGGTCCGTCTTTGGGGAAGCTCAGAGGTCATTATCCGATAGATTTCTATAGGAAGAGCAGAGTGTGCAAGAAATTGTTATAAGCCATATATAAGCCTTTACTCCCTTGTTATCTTAGGCAGGTCTTGGCTATGCTGCCAAGTCTATCCACATTTTTTTAGTTCTTCCTCTTAAGACAATGGGCCATGATAAACTTCAACTGCCTATATTTGGAAGTCTACTGTTCTTTAAGCAATACAAACTATTCTCAGCAACTAACTGATATGGGGCATAGGCAGGGGTGGGCTGCTAGGACTTTGCAGGGGTTCGGGAGATTCTCTAGCTAAGATTCTGCACAGTACGGAGAGCCCCCAATCCCACTCCTGAATGGCCCTGCCAACTCGCCCGTTCCCTCCCAGGAGTCCCCACAAGGCTCGTTTTGGATGCGGGTAAATGTAGGGAGGATGTGGAGGCTTGGGGAGGGCAAAAAATGGGTCTCCCAAAAGTTCAGGAAGGCCAGAAATGGGCCCATTTTCAGCCTCCAGAAAGCCTCCGGAGCCTGGGGAGACCATTTTTGCCCTCCCAGAGGCTTGAGGAAAGCCTCCAGAGTCTGGGGAGGGCAACCCCCCCCCCGCCATGGTGAGGGAGGCCAACTAGACTATGCCTACTGTTATGATATGTACAGAATAATTCTTGAGTAACAAGGATATGCACATGGAAATGTTTATGAGGGTAGTTATGAATAATTATTCAGCCACACACAGATACACTAAATTGAGTTAAAGTTTACTTTAAGAAATAGCACAGTCCAATAAACGGTCCAGTCATATACGTTTTACAATCCAAAGAATATCCAATTACAAAGTCTTCTTACCAGTTGCCTTTGTCATTTACAGTAAACAAAAATATCAAAGTATAAGCACAGCTTAGATAGCAACAGAATGTCAGAGAGACAGAATGTCAGAGAGAGCAAGCCATGATTTCTAGCTCCCTCTTATGGCAATTCGCAATACAATCAATCAATGGGAATCAATACAGTGATTTTGTCTTAAAGGTACAAACATACATTGTTGGTTTATATATTGCCAACCCAACTAATTGTTGGACAGATTCCTAACACCCACCATGGCCACACCAACTCAGCAACCAGGCAGAGAACCCCGTTGCTAAAATTTTTGAAGTTTACCCCTGGGCATAGGGAAGGATGCCTTTAAGACAGAGCTGTAATTGTGTAAATGAGTTGCGGGAAAGCTTCAGCTTAGAGCTTTTAGTTAACCATAGAGTGGGGATTCACACAGGCCAGAAACTAATGTACACGTCAGCAATAAGGTATGATATAATACGTACAAAGCTTAATTATAATCTATTTTTTGAACAAGGGAATTTTTTCTTTAGGATCTCCTTTAAATTTTATGATCTTTATGTCGGTGATACAATCATCAAAGCAGTAAAATGGACCTCTGTCACTAATATACTGAAAGAAGAAAAAAAGTGCATGTTTTAAGAGGATATCTCCTTGCAGAAAAACAAACAGATAAAAATCAATCTATTAAAATATATCTATCAGTATTCCTGTAGCTGCAGGGTATCCCATTCCTATGTCACTGTTTTCTCAGGCATATCTATAAGACCGGGTCATGCCCCTTACGTTGTGGGACACAATTTGATTAAGGCACATGCAGAAGTGTGGCATCTCTACAATGAGACCTACCGTCCCAGACAAAAAGGATTGATCTCACTTTCCGTCAGTGTTGAGTGGGCCGAACCAAAGAACCCTCACAAACAGGAGGATTATGAGGCTGCTGAGAGATATGTTCAGGTAATACGACTCTCGGTTGTTGCTGGACCACAGCTTCCATCTGGTGTGATCACAAATTATATTAGCTAAGGAGCAGCTGAAATACAAGCTATTGGCAATCAGGACACCATGTTGAGTAGGTCTACCATTTCAGAAATTAAATAATGATATAAACCAGGAGTGTCCAGCTTTGGCAACTTTGAAACTTGTGAAGTTGAATGCCTAAAATTCCTCAGCCAGCATGGCTGACTGGGGAATTCTGGGAGTTGAAGTCCACAGGTCTTAAATCTGCCTAGATTGGACACCCTGATGTAAACTCTATCATGTACTCCCAATAAGGTCTACAGTTTTGCTTGATTTTAAAACCAAAGAGTAGGTATACTTCTATGAAATAAAATCAACGGAAACATAGTTTGGGTATTCAGTAGGTATTAATATCTAATCTGTACTTAGTTTATGAAAAGTGTTAATACCTCTGAGTTATAAAATAGTGCATGATCAGCTTCAGTCTTCAAGTATGGGGAGAGAACAACAATTAATCAGGTCTTGTGTCCTCCTAGATGGAACATGCCTCCTGTATGTTAATCCTTACTTACTCCAATTTTAAAACAAGAGTTACACACACCTAAGATGCTAGGAAATAAGACTAATTCAGATTTTTTTCAAACTTGGTTCAGAATAATCATTCTACTGTAGAAATACTGTAAGCTCATATTCAGAAATCTGGAAGGTGGTTTACTTGGAGTAGGCTGGTTAAGATTATGAATAGCTGAAATCTGCAACATTTATTTAAACAATTAAAATAATAATTCAAAGCGGCTGTGCTTTAGGGTACAACTGTTCATATACATGCCTTTCAGTGTCACACTTAGAAATGGAACTAGGGAATTCCTTGGGGAGGGAAACATAGTCTAACGAGTAGACATTCATATCTAAAAAAGACATATCTTTGTCTTTTTTAATCCATGCCTTTTTAGAAGGGGAATCGTGAACCTTAAGAGCTTCATGCTTCTATTATTACTTGTGCTGCAACGGTTAAATTGTTGGACTAGGAATGAGGTTCAGGTATCTGCCCTCAGCTATGAAGGTTCGTGGGATAAATTTGAGGCAGTCCTTCTCTCGTAGCGCAACCTACCTCACAGGTTGTTGAAGAAGGTGGAGGGCTATACACACTGCCTTGAGCTCCTAAATGAAAAGTAGTATGAAAATCTAATAAATGTGCAATATTTGGGAATACTTACAAAGAACTGGTAGATGTTTTATTTCTAAGGAGGGAAGGGCTAATGCTTTTAACCTCCGTGCTATTGGGTAGGAGTTGGTGTCCTAGCTGCAGCTATAACTACTAGCACTATTTTTGCATTGTATTCAGCAGATGGAGAGTATAGGTTGTGGGAGCTCTGACTCCGAGATTAGGGCTTGAAGGACACCAACAAGGTGTCCCTGGAAGACAAGCGACTGCAGCTGTAACTATCAGGTTACAACGTGGAGACTCAGCTGGTGTCTGGGGGAAGAGGTTTGGAGGAGCTGCTCTTTTGCGAATAAGTTGGTTAATGTGTGTGTAACTCTTGATTTCTTGTGATGTCCCACCCACAGTTTTTTGTTGGTTGGTTTGCTCATCCTATTTTCAAAACCGGCGATTATAGCGATCTGATGAAAAAGAGGGTACAAGAAAGAAGTTCTGGCCAATCACGGTGAGTGATTCACTAATGTAGAACAGTTCCCGGGAAAGGCTATTAAAAAAAAAAACATTGAATAAGCTCTCCACTGCGTTATGTCACAAAAGGGAAAGGAAGGGGAGACAGAAGGGAAAGGGAATCCAAGTGCCAGCTGTTAAAAGTGAAATAGTCTTCTGATGACCAATTGTCTCAGCAACAGTATGGGAACTGGAGGGCCCTGAGGATTGGCGTTTCTTCAGAGCTTTTTGAATGTTTCTGAATGGTGGTGAGGCACCTGCTGACAAACTTCTTGAAACAATCCATCCTTCCTGATCCATTTGTCAGGATATCTTCTTTTCTGGTGACCTCAAAAAGCTACGAAGGACAAGAGAGTGGGAGAAAGCTGCTGGGAGGTGGGATGAGGTAAAATGAAATGAAATGATGGGAGTAGAGGATTCTTGCTAGTGGAAACGCTAAATGTTAATCTCAAAGGTGCTTTTTCAAAGGGCAATTGGACTATGTTTTTTTCCTTGAGGAAGAAAAAGAAAGAAGAAAAAAGAAAGAAAACGTAGTCTAATTGCCTTTTGAAAAAGCACCTTTGAGACAACCATGACCTGGATGACTGAAAATCTCTATATAGTTTATACCAGAAGTGTCAAACCTAAGTTGTCAGGTATATTAGGACTTTGCTAAACCAGGCGGGGGGGTGGCTAGCACAGGATGCATCCGGCCTGCGGGCCCAGAGTTTGAACAGCCCTGGTCTAGACACTAAATGCTCATGAAATTGTGAAGCTGCAGAAGTTCAAGAGAAGGCTAGTGTTCATTTCTACTACAACAAAGCCAGCAGCGAAGCAACTCATTTCCTGATTCCAATCACGAAACTGAGCATGTTTAGACCAGATTCTGAATTATCTAAGAAGGCCCACTGTTCTTCTGCTGTTGGTAAAAGGTCAGTTTTCAGTGACTTGCTTTTGCCCTTTTCAGAAGACAAAGTGCCTACATAGGAATTTATGCTACATGATAAATCACAGAGTCCAGCTGATATAGTAATATGCAACTTTGCCAATCCTTTGTAATAAATGTGTCAGGTAAAAACCTATTTTTCTATTTCCATGTATGTTTGTGTTATGTGTGATCCAGCCTCCCTGAATTTACTGAAGATGAAAAGCAAAGAATTAAAGGCACATATGACTATTTTGGCTTGAATCATTATACCACAATCCTGGCATCCAATTTAAATTTTCCTGCTTTTATAAGCTCCTATGATGCGGATAGGTAAGCTGCAAGCATGATTTTATATTGCCTTAAATTATGCACCGTTTAATCCTAATAAAAATGAAATACAAAGTTAGCCATTTTTCAGGGTGAAATTACTGGATTTTTGTGAGTACACAATAACATTTACCGTTATGCTGTTATTTGATAAAATGGGAATCTTCCCATATTTTGAGAACCCTGGTGGTGCAGTGGTTAGAATGTAGTATTGCAGGCAAACTCTGCCCACAGCCAGGAGTTTGACCCTAATGGGGCTGAAGATTGACTCAACCTTTTTTTCCTTCTAAGGTCAGTAAAATGAGGACCCAAATTGTTGGGAGCAATATGCTGGCATTGTAAACTGCCCAGAGAGTGCTGTAAAGCACTATAGGGTGGTAGCTAAACCTAAATGCTATGCTATGGCTATTTTGAAGCAACTTATACATCACATGTTACAGGCACAAAGCTGGTCCTCGTTGCAGAAAAATCTAAACTTTCCATAACGTAGATGGCTGGTTCTTAAAGAACCAGAAACTGTTACATATTGATCTTTGGTACACATATGTATTGTTTGTCCAGTATAAAATAAATTTTGCGGATACCTCTAGTGCTTCTAGAATGTTTGTAAATGGGTATCATTTCTATCAAATAGGTCCTTAAATGAAATCCTAGTGCATAAGTGGCCCTTCTTCTAATAGTTATAGTTGTCCTCACTTTTGCTCTGTGCATCTCATTGCCTAAGCCCCAAGTGATAAATATGCAGATGCTGTTACTTGGGGAATCATTGGAACATTAACTTTAAAAACAAGCGCAAGCACATCAAATATTCTTAACACTATGTACATTCAAACTAAGCCAGCAATTCCAAACTTTTATTTTATTATAGGGACACCAGTATTTTTTCAGATCACAGTGAATGCCAAAATCTCCTAAGATTTTAAGAGAATGTCAGAATCTCATGTCATTTCATAAGATTTGCCCAGTTGATTTTTTGTTACTTTCATTTTTACTTGGTTCTATAGGCCATTTATAGTATCCTTGCAGGTCACCAGTAAATCATTGGAGCATAAAATTGAAAGCCAATGCTTTGAAACTATGGATTATTTTAACAATAATTTAGTGAAAATAGTCTCATAGATAACTCTAAATTATAAATCCTTTACATACTATTCAAAAGAGACAATCAAAAAGCCAGAAAAAAAATTAAAAGACCAAAACACCTGCTCACTAGCAATCAAAAAGGAATGCCCCAAAGAATTAACCAAGTCAGTCAAACAAGCTAACAGTAAACAGCCTAATCAAGGAACCACCAAATCCACTTCAACCAATGCTGACAGAGCAAGTAAGTGCACATAAAAAGAGAGTAAATCCATATCTTTCTAGCACTGCTGATGTTACCTAGGTGGGTAATGAGATGTCTGCAAGAAAGGAACCAAGCACAGATAGCGCCAAAGAGCTCATATATTTGTTTGTTTTGACAGAGGTGTTGCTTCCATAGTAGACCACAGCTGGCTGGGTTCTGGTTCCTTTTGGTTGAAAGTGACTCCATTTGGCTTCAGAAGGCTCTTAAAATGGATCAAAGAAGAATACAATAATCCACCTATTTATGTGACTGAGAACGGAGTTTCTGAACGTACAGATGGAGACTTGAATGATACCTGGCGCATACATTATTTAAAGAGCTATATCAATGAAGCATTAAAGGGTATGTGGTTTTCCTTTCATAAGCAGTCTCCAAATCCAATTAATCCTTCTACTTTATCTCTATTTTCTCTGAAAGAATGAATATTTAATTTTACAATGAATGCATGTAATGGAGAAAGAACCTTTGCTGGCATGAAAGATGGGTTTTGAGTACAAAAGTGAGAAAACAAATTCTAACCCTATGAATGACTATGGTGAATGATATGATGCAGAATTTTCATACTGCTTTTGAAAATTCAATCCCTATTGCAGATTTAATTATTCTGTTGTATAGCTTTGGAACAAGCTAGTAATTGCTATTTATTATTTTTTAAAGCTTTGTATGTTAAATGTTGTGTATGGTGTGTAGAGAAAAAATGAACTCTATAAATATTAGCAAGAACAGGTTAAGCATTTGTCATGTTAACAATATTAAAAATAACAAGGTAAAATATATTACATAAGGAGGCTAAGACTATCAGGGCTTCTACAGTGGAGATTTCTGGAAAGGGAGCTAATTGAAACTAGTTGTTCATTTGAGGTTACTTCCAACTTGATGGTTTTGTTTTACTAAAGCAAAAGTCTCCAAATGTGCCCACTTAAGACTTGTGGACTTCAACTCCCAGAATTCTCCAGCCATTTCTGGGAGTTGAAATCCACAAGTCTTAAAGTTACCAAGTTTGGGGACCCCTGGACTAAAGGAAGGTAGAAGCTAATGATCAACTACCTCTAATATATAATCAATCTCTCCCTGATAAAAACATGAAAGCAGCAAAATGGTAACCATCTATTCACGGTCTATATTCAGCTATCCTTACTGGAAATATTGGAAATACTGAAAGCCAGTTTGGTGTAGTGGTTAAGATGGTTAAGTGCAGGCCAAGAAACCATGAGACTGTGAGTTCTAGTCTCATTTTAGGAATGAGAACCAAGTGATTGGGCCAGTCATTGTCTCAGAGCTTAACTTACCTCAGAGCTGTTGTTAAGGGGAAAATAGGAGGAGAAAGGACCCTGGCATGTTCATAACAGTGCCTGTGTGTGTGTGTAGTAATAAAAATCAAAAACAGTAATGTACACTAGGCTATCTTAAGAGCTATTTTTTCAACACTTTGCATTAAACTTAAGGTGACTCACACTATTTGCCTGGCTCTAGGATTTCCTTCTGTGCTCACTCCTTCAAAATGAAGTTTTGAAAGCAGCCGAGATGCTTAGAGGCTGCAACCCGAATTATTCAGGGGTCTGCATTGTGTAATGAGTTTGTAATTAAACTTGCAAAAAAAAAAACACTGTAAGAATCTCTCCCTATCCCTGTTTTATATATGTAACAGGAATTGTACTTGATGATGTTGATCTCCGAGGTTACACAGTTTGGACTTTGATGGACAATTTTGAATGGGCAGTGGGTTTCTCTGAAAAATTTGGCCTGTATTACACCAACCACACAGACCCCAATCTAACTAGAATCCCAAAAGAGTCTTCAAAATATTACTCATCTATTATCCACTGTAACGGCTTTCCAGATCCAACTAATGGACCTCATTTATGCCTGGAACCACAGCCTGAAGGTAGGTATATTATTAGAAGCAGGAAAGGACCAGCTTTGAAGGGTATGCGAAGAGAATTTAAAAAGCATTAGTATTATTTTAACTGTAACAATTGTACCAGTCTGGACACAATTCTATATGATAGGAAACAACCCCAAGAGATTGAGATTCTCAGGAGGAAGTTGCAATGCAATAGTCAGCTAGTATTGATACTGTCATATCTGGTGCTGAACGGAACAGCCTAATGGGCATCCTTCTAAAAATGCCAAAGCAAATTAGTCCCCATCTATTTGTCTTTGATTTTGGAGCATCCCCAAGACAGGAATACTCATGAGAATAGCCTCAGGGACTGAAGCTAGAATACAGAAATTTTCATTTTTACTACTATGAATCGAACCCAATGGGTCTTGTTCCCTATACATGCCACTGACAGTTAACGATCTTCTCTACTTGAGGTTCGTTTCAGGGGTTTGAAAGTTACTAGGGCAATTTTTAGCAGCATATTTGGATGTACCAGTTTACAAATCTTACATGATTACTTTACCTTTGTAGGTACTACTAAACCACCAATTACAAACACTCATAGTTATCATAGGAGCACCGTGCTTATAAAAACAGATCACACACCTATAAGCCCAACAGGACTGGAAGATATCAAGAAAGTGCCATTTTTGGGACTGGACTTGACTTCATCTGAGGCTGAAATAGCTCTTTATGTTCTATTTGTCCTATGCTTGCTGGCTATACTAGGTTTCGCTGGTTCCCTCTGTGCATGTAAAAAGGCCAAAAATAAGCGGAAAAACACAACATTTTAGCAATCGGGAATATGTTTTGCTTTCTCATCTGAAGACTTTGAGCCATGCATATTTGAAGCTCTCTCTATTCATCTATCAACGTTAAAAGTACATTATCGTAACAACGTGCATCAATTAGGGATTTCATTTTGATTTTTTTTGCACCCAAGATATAATCACTTAATAATTATACAATTTTGGAACATTGTTTTCCTGTGACTATGAAGTTAAAACTAGCACGCTCTCAATTTAGTGGGAAACACACACGTGCACCTGTGCGTATGTGGAGCATAAAGCACACAAACTGGCAGGCTGTTTTTCAAGATTTCAAATCAACTGCAAATCTCGTATTAGATATCTTGGAGCATTAGTGGAAAAAGTATTTAAGTGTGTTTCAGAAAAAGAGGCCCATTTGTTCAGAATTTCACAACAAATCAATGGAAATAGGTTCTTGTATGCAAATAAAGAATATTATAGAAAAATAGTTAAGAACGACTTCACTACATTTGCCAAATTTTGCAATTACTTCTGAGCTGCAAATAATTGTAACAGGTACCAATGGCTTCATTTACTGTGACATTAAGGAAACTGCTAGCATGTCCTTTTAAAGCCATGTCAAGCATTTAAGGACTTTAAATCCCTTCTGAACACTAGTGGATCATGTCAAGTCAAATCAGAGGCAACGAGGAAGGATGTTGATATTGATCCTGTAAGAGAAAAAAATGGGACATCTATTTTTGTATTTTAACCCCCTCCTTTTCTTTGAGAGTTGAAAGCAATGGGGAGTGGGGAGCATCTTTTTTTTTTTTGGTAAAAAGACTGAACTAGATTGAACTGTGAATCTGAGTAACTGTGTTTTTTCATTTTTCTGTTGTACTCTACCTTTCCTTTTGATTTTTAAAAGGTTTTGTTGAGGCAAGAAACATTAAAAATTAATCTGACCCCCCCTGTATTTCTGTTGCTATTTACAAATAATTGAACCAGACACAAGTGTGATATGGTATAATTAATGGTAACCACAGCAACCATATTGAATCACCAGGCCCTGGGCCCAAATAGGATCAGTCTCTTTTCCAAATTCCCATTTATGCAAGTCAGGAAGGTAAAAAATTATAAGAACCCAGTCCCTTTCTTACAGCAGGGGGGATAATTCCATTGCTCAGTTTATAAAAAGTATGACACTTCAAAGAATGATCATGTTACATACCAAATATTTGGGGAAAAAAACTTTATTGAATGCCATGAGATAAAAACTATGAATATTGGGCTGTTGTTACAGAAGCATTACAGGGAAAAAAAAACCCTTATCCAATTCATTAAGATTACACTCTTCTAGGCTGAGTGACTTGTTTGGTATTTGGTGATGCCTATTTGTTCAAAGATTTATATAGATAAAAAGTGTCTTTAGAGGATTGTATAAGTAGTAAATATGAAATTCTAAATGTTGATGAAACATGGAGGATTTTTATATTGTTTCTGGCAGTAGTTACATTTGCAGAATCTAGTTGCATAAGTGGGTTAGCATTTATTCCAGGCAGAATACCCAACCGAGCCCACTATGCAGCAGAATGTTTTAACTGAAGCTAAATCAAATAGGAAAAAAAATAATCAGTGATTTCTATGTACAGTTTAGCCAGGTTACATTTGTTGGGTTGAATTTCCATTCCAAGTATTATTATCATCCTCTCCATCATCCTGAGTTCTCAATCGGTAGATCTTGCCTTCTTTCTTAAATTCTTCATTCCGTTTTTCCAATACTCGTTTCCTAACTGCTTGTCTGCAGAAGAAAGAAAGAGAGATTGAGTACAAATTCCAATAGGGGCAAAATTCAGGCCAATATTAACTCTTGATCTAATTTTTGTCTCTTTCATTCCAAATTTAAGAAAGTTTCTATGAGAGCCAGAAGATTTAATTTGATCATAAAGCATGGATTCATGTTACAGTGCATAGACAGACCCACATTTATGACCATTTATTCAGTGATTATTCAAAATTACAATGATGCTGAAAAAAGGGGACTTACAACCCATGCCCCAAGTTATGGCTGTTGCAGCATCCCTGAAGTCATGTGATCAACATTTGGGTGCTTGGAGCCCCACCCACACTTACGACTCCAGGGGTGCTGCAACTCCCCCCCCCCGCATCCTCCCCACCAAGCTATGCTCTTTTTGGCTGCACTACACAGTGGCACTCAGCAGCGGGGCTGGGTATAAAATAGAGGGGACAAGTCCTAGTTGTTCCCACTGCCCTGTGCTCCACAGATCCTGCTGTGGCAACCTTTGCCATTCAATTCTCAGGTAATGACAGCAACCAGGATGCAAGGATTGCAGTCACTAAGTGATGCTGACATGTAATGTCTCGCTTTATGACTGCATCACTTAGCTCTGGAAATTCCAGTCCCAATCTGTGACCATAAATCGAGAACTAACTATAAGGTGGACTGCTGACATTTTCAAAGCATTAATGAACATCTAAAATATGGAAATTACATAGGAACTATTTGCGAATGGTGTCATCCCATCCCATTTCCTGAGAATGGCTTAGCTTCCCCAGTGAAGATGCAACAAACTAGGACACTCTAGTTTTCAGTCCATCCCATGAGATCACACAGAAACAGGCATAATTCAGGGATTGACATAAAACAACTAGACAACCCATGATCTTTTGAGTCACTGTTTAAAGAGATATTTCCTTACTGGATTCCTCAATGCCTTTAACAATGGCATAGCTAATGTACTGCCTATACTGGAAAGACTGGGGTACAAAGATTGGGATAGATCTCCCTTGAAAATAGGCCAAGTTGAACTGTACAGCACAAACATCAGCATAGGAAATGTTTTATAACATTTTGTGTTATATGTCATGTTTCTTAAAAATTGCCGTATTTCAATTCTATGAGAGTCATGGGGTCCTGCATTTTGAATGCCTTCTGCAAGTTAGCACAAGTACCTTGGATCCAAAATCGCTGCCCTATGAAGCACCGTTTTGCCCATTAATGTCCACAGGAATTAGCTTTTTAGTACAAGTAGTCCTCAACTTACAATAGTTCATTTAGTGACCATTCGAAGTTACGTCACTGTAAAAGGTAACTTATGACCATCCTCACGGTCACATGACCAAGATTTGGATGCTTGACAACTGGTTCCTATTTATGACGGTTGCAGTGTCCCCAGATCATGTGAACACCTTTTGCGACCTTCTGGTAAGTAAAGTCAATGGGGAAGCCAGATTCACTCAACAACTGCAATAATTCACTTAACTGTTGCAAGAAAAGTTATAAAAATGGGGGGAAAAACTCATGTAACAAATGTCTCACTTAGCAACATAAATTTTGGGCTCAATTATGGTTGTAAGTCGAGGACTACCTGTACAATGTAAAACAACTTTCCACCTGGTGGGATCCAGGAGTTGTGACTACTTTGTTGAAGCGCACACTCTTTCCAACAGCATATGCCTTTGAAATGCAAATGGCCCTAACTAACCCTGTTGGCCTTTCATGAAAGTAAAGATAAAGTTTATCCAGTCGACTCCAAATCTAGCAGGCAGCGCTCATCTCCGTTTCTTAATCAAGGGAGCCAGCATCGTCTGGAGACGCTTCCGTGGTCATGCGGCCAACATGATTATATGCTGGGGTGCATGGAACCCTGTTACTTTCCCACCAAAGCGGTACCTATTTATCTACTCTCATTTGCATGCTTTTTAACTGCGAGGTGGGCAGGAGCTGGGGCAAGGAATGGGAGTTCACTCCGTCAAACAGTGCTCAAATCTCAAACCCGGGTTGTCAACATTCCAGTTGACAAGCTCAGCTTCTTTAACTGCTGAGCCACTGCGGCCCTCTTGGTCTTCCTTAAGGGCTTAAAAATATGGCCCTACGCCCAAGCATTGTATTGCCCATCTTGTATTGGCTTTCTGAACATGCCAATCAGGTTTGGCCTGATTGAAAATAAAAAAAGTAAAAACAATGCAATTTTTTCTTCTTTATTTTTAATCCTATGCTAACCACCCAGAATCGCAATTTGTGAGATGGGCAGCTCGATCAATCAAATAAATAAATACTGATTTGTAGTCCCCTGCTATATCTACAGTTAGATTTTACAGCTCATGGAAAAACTAAACTTAAGAATAACATGAAGAGTCAAAAGAAACTTCCACATGAACTTTTCTAAAAAAAAAAAAAAAAGAGGGGGGTGAGTGGAGACTCTACCTTTGCCTTTACTCTTGTTTGTTCTTAAACTCTTCCTAATTGGGAAAGGATTCTGGGAAGAAAAGAGACTCATTAGCAGCAACACATTGCCACTTTACTTCATGAGTGGATCTGTTTCTTTCCCTAATTTTCCATCCTCAGGCTCCAAAGTTTGTTTCCAAGGGCCACCCTACTGTTTAGAAAATATTTGGAGTTTTGTGCAGAGAAGAGGAATCAATAGTTTCTTCAACTGATAAAAAAAAATAATCTTGAAATCTGATCCTTCATGAATTTAGTAGTAAGTGTTTGTACCTGTTTGGTTCTGCAGTGCTAGGAGCTGAAGGATTTGAGTGCTGCTGTTGATGATGTCTTGCAGGAGGCTGGGAGGAAGGAGGGCTGGTAAACAAGAAATTGCTAATAAATCGCCAAACAGCTATCAGTGGGTAAAGGATTGTGCCAAGGAACTTCCATAAATCTCCACTGGAAGACTGCATGACTGCTGTAGCTGGCCTTCCTGCCTATTTATGGGGAAACAAGCAAGTACCGTTTAGAAACTAGATTTAAAAAAACAAAAACAAAACCCTCGTACTGTATTATGTAACACATATAACTTGTCTCGTAGTAAATGTATAATTATTTATTTGAATCCTGCACATTTCTTTCGTTTCCCCTTTTCACACACTTACAGGCAACAATACTATTGAAGCACTTGGAGCAAGTCCCAGGTCCGATAATTTTTTCTCATAATCATCTTTGGTAAATTCTCTTCTGGGGAACATTGTTGCCAGTGAGAAGTTGCCATATGTGTTGCCAACAATCTGTAACAACAGAACAAGTCAAGTTCATTTCTATTCTTTACAAACAGGAGGAAATATAATATATCCCATTTCCAAGACAAAATAAGCTTTCATCCCAAAACTGTTTTCATGAGGAACTGAAAAATTCTTCATTGACAGTAGTTGGTTCTGTATTGCTGATATGTTCAGGAGCAGACAATGTGGCCTACTAATGTTTGATAACTTAAATGATCCTTCAAAGCAGAAATTAAATAGGAGTGTTAAAAAAGTTATTAGGTCCTGAATGTACTTTGAAAGAAATGTACTTTCTTTCATATGTTTACCCGGTTTTTTATGTTAGGCAACAACACTCTTATTATAGAACAATTTTTTTTTCACGAGGAAAGAGAGAGGCACCAAATTTCAATTGCACTATTGGAGCAATCAATGAGTGGGTAGATAGACAGGCTGCAACCATGTAAATAGCATAAATACTGACTGGGATGCTTACGGGTTACTCACTTCTATGTTTGCAGTATGTATTTTAAAAGCCTCCTTATTAAACCTATTTCCTTAAAATTTTTAAAGACAATACAATGATTTAGTTCAACTATTAATGTGGCTTCCATTTAATTATCTTTTTTGAAAAAGAACAGATATTTGTTCACCTGTGCAGCAAACCGATGAGCTTCTTCCAAGGGAGCATCCGAAGGGAAACTATTAGTGAAAGAAGAGCCATCTGGAAGGCGAAATTGGATTCTTGCTATAGCACTAGGAAAGATATTTTACATTAAAACATTTGGTTTTACAAAGAACACCTTAAATTATAGAAAAAGGGTGGTTCTATAGAAAAAAAGAGATTATTTATATCAACAACTGTAGGAGAAGAGTGGTAGAATCTGGGACAGGGTCAAAAGAGGAATCAACCTAGAATTACTACACAGCCACAAAAGGAGTCATTTGTGTCTCTGAAGTAACTCTAGGCAGATTCCGCTTTGGACCTCGCCCACAGGTTCTGTCATTCCTTCTCTTACAACAATGGACAAAGGTATCTGTGAATTCAGAATAAATATATTCTCTGCCAAGAAACTTTAGAGCCGTGAAGTAGGAGAAAGAATAAGCACTGAATTGAGAACTGGGATGAGGCTAGAATAACATCCAAAGTTATAGGCTCTTGCAAAATGCAAGGGTGTTTTTATGCAAGCTGAGAACAGGGGACTGAAAAAACCAATTACCTTTTTTCCTTTTGGGACGTTTCCTTCCTAGCTTCCATTTCGGCTTGTTTAGCCTGAAGAGCAGCAGCTTTTGCAGCTTCTGCCTCCTCTTTTGACCTCGCAAAACGAGCTGCTCTTTCAGCACGATCCTTCACAAGACAAAAAAATGTAGCTTATTAACATGACTTTTTTATACTAGCTGCAAAAATCAGACATCATAGTGATTTTGATATAAAAGGAATTGTTGTATTTGAGTTAGATCCAGATCAAACTATATTTGGATAGATCCAGTGAAATCAGTAATGAGAAACTAAATATTATTCTTAAACAGATTAAATATAACTCTACTCAAGGTACCATAACCCACGCCAAGTATCAGGGACCTATATTTAGGACCCATGGGCTGAGGTTTTCCTTGTACAAGTAAACCACACCCTGGAATACTTACTAGAGCAATTTGCTGCCTGATGCGCTCCCTGGCAGCTTTATCTTCAGCTTTTTCTCGGTTCCTTTCTTCCAATATTCGTTTTGTAAGTTCTTCTTCCTGTTTCCTTTTATATTCCAACATTTCTTTCCCAGATTTTCTTCTTTCTATTTCTTTTTTTATTTCTTTCTAAATAAAAACAAAATATGTATTTCATTTACTGGACTTTAAATCACCATTCTATATGTTTAATAACCAAGATAGCAATAAAAATGCAAAATAGAAAGAAATAGCACAGCTAAAATCAAACATTAACATGGAAAAAATGTACTTCACAATTGAAAGCATGGTGGAAGTGATGCAACCAAACTCCAGGGGAAGGGAAATTAGGAGACAAGTGCATCTCCCTAGGAAGCACAATCCGTAGCCTCAGAACTACACAAAAGACAATGTGACAAGATGAACTTCTGGCAATGGGAATGTCTTCAAGAGAGCTTTTTTTTTTCACTAATCTGAGTATTTATTTATTTCTAACGATGAGTCATGCTGCTTCTTGCCTGGAAATCCTTGTGATTTTGGTTATTAATCTGAGTGACAGGACAGTTTACAACAGTATAGGTTACCATTTGTACTTTTAAAGATTATTACCAATACTGGGAGTTGTGGCTAGTAAACAACCAATAGGCAGCACAGATCTTTCAGTACACAAATCTGCTTATATTTTGTAGTAATTGCAATTTCGAGACATTTTTAACCCCAAATAGACCAAGTTTCAACCACAATCCATGAATCTAGCATTTTCCTTACCAACTCACCTCCATTTTATCTGAATTTAATTTCAGTATAAATCATCAACCAATTATTAAGTTTAAGCAATGTAAATGGTGGTGATTGCTTTCTTGGAATAGAAAACAACATGTGTCATCTGGTGTCATCTGCATTATTCATGAACTCAATTAGAAAAATTTAGATAACCTTTTCCAGATATTTGTGGGTAGTTAACAACACAGGTGTTATAGGGACACCACAGATCAGTGACAGAGTGTCTCATCTCATAAACAGACACACTAGAAAGGGGGAAATTATTAATTTAAATTTTAAAAGATTAAAAACTTTAATAAAGACACAGATTTGAAGTGGACCAGTTGCTTTCGTGGTGTGGAGACAATAACTTGGTCCTTAACACCAATAAGACCAAGGAGCTTATAGTGGACTACAGAAAGACCAGACATCCAGCCCTTGATTATCAATGGAGACCAAGTGGAGCAAATGGACATGTTTTAAGTTTCTGGGTGTTACCATAAAAGAGGACCTGACCTGGGATGCTCATGTTGCAGGAAACAACAACTGAATGAAAAACTGCTGGTGATCTTCTACCGCTGCAGCACAGAGTACTTTAATTTACTGCCCCTGTGTATGGTTTGCCAATTGCACAGTGACAGGCAGGACAGCACTCCAGAGGGTTAACATCATTGCCCAGAGGATCATTGGTTGCCCTCTCCCTTCTTTGGAAGAGCTTTATAGCTTCCACTGCCTTAAGAAAGTTCAAAACATTCTTAAAGATCCATCTCATCCTGGGCACCCTTTTTTTTTGAACTATTACCAACTGGCAGATGGTACAAGATAATAAAGACAAGGACAAATAGGCTGAAAAAAGGCTTCTATCCCAGAGCAGTAACTATATTGAATTATATTGTATAGTGCAGTATTAATACAGTATCTGCGGTTTTCAATTCAACTGCATAGAATGTGAAGGATGTGTTTTGTATTTTTTTATAGTTTTCTTATGTATAATGTACACTGAAGATGGCATTTAATTTTGTTGTACAAGGTGCAATGACAGTAAAATACTACTATTTATATAGTTGTAGTCCAATGCTGGGGAAAACTGATGGCAGGATATTTCCAACCAGCAGGTCATTCTGTGTGCAACTATGCATCCTGGTCCAAGGGGAAACTGTAAAAGATGGATAGTTTGAATAGTATCCTTGTCCTTTGGGAGGAACCCCCATTTTTCCCATAAGGTCTTTAGTTCTAACTAAACCAGTGCACAGTCTATTTAAAAATCTCCAAACTGTCCATTCCTCCTCTGAACCTCCACACAACTCCTCAAGCGGTTCTTTCCAATTATGAAGATGTTGGTTTGAAGTTTCCATCTTTTTAATTGTTCTTTTTGAAGGATAGTAACAATCCCTTGGCACAATCTAAAAATCTCTTTCTTAATTTCAATCTTTTTGTAGGGGGTACTTGGCCAAATAACGGGCCTGCTGGATCATGTAATACCTTTCCATATTCCACATCTTGTGCTATACTCCTTCTAATGCCTGGTGGAGCTATTCCCATCAAGATATATAGTTTGTCAAGTGGGATGGGGCAAGACATCCAGTAACAATGCACATGTATCACTAAGCACCCTATCCATCTGTGTAGAGTACATGGGCAGGCATACTCTCCTGCTGAGTAACATAACGCAGAAGGGGCCATTCATAGAATAATGGGGTGGGCACCCTAAGTAGTTTCAGCCTATTTACTAGGGTGTAATTTCACTACTTTCTGGACATGTCCTAACAGGAAAGAAGGGAACCACTGCAAAACAGTGCCCCCAAAGTTCAATTCTATCAAAAGGTTTGTGGGTTGAAAATATTGAAAGCCACTGTAAAGCCCCAAGGAACTAGCAAAATTGCATTCCTCCATCAAAAGCAAATGGCCATAGTACGCTATTTTAAACTAATTCCAAATTAACACAAGTCCAAAAAATTCATTTCATCCAGGTGTGCCTAGAATTGCAAGTAACAATTTTTGAACCATCTTGCCTGGGAAAGAAATACCTAAATCTTGTCTATAATTAGAAACCAGAAACAATATCCAGATCAAGGGATGGATTTTTTAAAAATATAAATATAAAATTATAACTATCTCCTTTCATATACTAGAATAAAATCTGGTACTCAAAGGGATATTTAAGTATCTTTCAGAATCAAGGGCCAGTCCCAGCCTGGCTGAATGAACCATCTACAAAGGCAAGGGTCAAATAAGCATGCAGTGGGCATCATTTCTCCACCGCTCCACACGTTGCTCAGGTATTACAATAAATCTGTGTTCTGCCAACAAGAACATTCCTAAGAGAGGCTGGTAACACTAAAAATCAAATATTCTACCTGTTCTTCTTCTTTCTTCTTTTCTTCTCTTCTTTCTTCAAGTTTTTGTGTCACTCTATATTTTGAAAGAATAACTGAAATAATTTCTGCATAATGAAATCTCATGAAAATCACATCCAAATTTCACAATTCACCAGTGATAACTATGCTACAATAACTTAACTTCATACGTGTTTAAGATACAACATACTGACAAAAAATGTATGTTTAGAAAATGCAAAAAAAAAAAAGTTCCTATGAACAGAAAGAATTCCAAGTGGTATCTTATGCTATACACATTTCTATTTTGTCCCCCAAGCTTTGTCTGTTCACACATCCTTGTTTTCCCTTTATTTTTCCAAACCTGGCTTTCTTCTTAAGAATGACAATCCTGTAAAAAGTGTTGATACAAGTTTCATTTTCCTTCTGATTTCATTTTAAAAAAAATATTTTTGTACAAATACAAAATGGCCTAATTAAACTTCAATTAGGCTAAGGGATACCAAAGCTTCACTAAATAATTGAATTAAACAGTATTTACAAAAAACATACCTTTCTACTTTAGCAGCAAGATCATCTGTAGTCTGTTCTACCCGTCTGTCATCTTTCTCATTTGTCTGGACCAAATTTACTTCACCTTCTCATAAATGAGAAGTTCCATATAAAAAAAGACAAAGATTGAGACTTTTGTTATAACAATTCCACAATTATATTAGTTAATATGGGTGTCGTACATATCAATTTTTTCTGCTAATAAAAATCTGTGTCTGTTTTTTTTTTAAAAAATGTCTTCTTACATTATAAAATGTAAAAAGAGACTGTTCTTTACTGTCATTTGCAAACTAAGAAAGGTGTTAGGAAAACATATAGAAGGTTGGAGGAACACACAAAGCAATTAAAGGTTACTAACACAAGGAGGCAGATCCAGTGGGTGATCAGTTATTACTAATCTAAATATTAAACTTGAGAGGGTTGAATAGTAATATCTCAGCAGAAAATTAATCTATAAAGAATGAGCTAGTAATACTTACCATCTGGAGTTAAACGTAATCTTTCTAGCTCTGTTTCAGAAGTTTCAGCGGTTTGTGATTGAGAATCTTCTGGGTTGCTACATAAAGAGGAGGAACATGAAGCAGAACTTTCTAACCCTTCAGTTTTTATTAAGTGCATCTAGGGAAGAAGGAAGTGTTGACATATATAAGTGTTGCACTTATTTTAGATTCCATCTTTCAATTCAAAAATGTGCACTCTTGTTTATCTTAAAGAACAAAACACAATTTTACCTATTATGCACACACTATGACAGGGTATATATTTCAAAAATTATTTCTAGATTATGTAACAAGATCCCTGCTAAATGTCTCAACTACCATATCTATAATGCTTGCTATGAACAAGATGCCTGGAGCTGCTAGGAATTGATATCCAAAATAATTGGAGTCACCAGGTTGCCTGACCATGGTCTACTCTATTTACTAGACCAGGTGGCATTTATATCAACAGGGTTTCTTTTCTAGTAGGTTATGATCCCACTTTTCCAAGAAATACCTGGCCACATCTACGATGCAAATATATAAAAAAAGGATCGAGTAATTTAAAGGCAATGTTGCTGCAACTAGCATATATTGTGAACAATATGTTAAAAATTAAGAGGATTCGAATTCTGTGTAAGGAATTAATTAATTCCACAAAGGGAAACAAACTCATTTACAGTGAAGTTTTCTTATTGTACAAAAGCTGAAATTATTATTAAATTTTAATCCTATCTATATAAGAACTCAAGGAGACAAACATATCTACTACTCCTTCCTCCTCCTATTTTCCCCACAATTGTGTAAGGTGTTTGGGCTGAGAGAGAATGACTGGCTTGACATCACACAGGCGGCTTTCATCTTTAAGGCCAGCCCATGAAACACGATACCCAACTGGCTATCCAGTCCAATATAGATCAGAAAGTAACAATTTATTACAATAAATATTTTATTCCTCTGATGAAAGTTCTCATGACTCATTACCTTTCAAGCTTTGAATATAATAATGAATTTAATTGAAGGCAACTTTAAAACGAAGAGAATTTGTGTGTATATAGTCATGTAGTTATGTATACAGTGACATATAGTTTGTATGGTCACCAATTCACAAAATGTAATCCTTGAAAGCTAAAGTAGGATTAAAAACAAAACAAAATAAATGATAGGAATAAAGGAACCATCATGAAAACAGCCCAGAGGCAAAATGACAGCATATTCAAAATTCTATATCAATTTCTCAGACAGCTCATCTGATGTTCTAACCCAGTCCTTGGAGGAAAAATCATTTTTAAAGCTTTATGAAAGGGCCAGGAATACCTGACTCTGGTGGTAGGGGTGTTGGGGAGTGTGCATAAAGGAGTTTCCTGGATGCATCATTCTGCTCTCCCAATTCTGCCACAGGACATCTACAGGGGTGATTAATGCCACCTCAATACTGTACATTAATCTGAAGGCTCAGCTGAAAAGGGTCCAGACAAACTGTTCCTTCCAGGACCCCTCTGGAATTGCAAGCTGAATACTTTTTTATCAAGCTTTCCAGGGAAGGGGTGGCAGAGACAGGACAAAAACTGTTCAGAACTGCTACATTCAAGGATGGTTTCTTGAAGAGGGGCAGATCACAGCCTCCTTACCAACTGAGAGAACCACACTGTTCTTAAATGATGTAATCATTACTTCCTGGATCCAATAATACATCATCTTCTAGAGGGCCTTATCTAGCCAGGACCCCTTACATAATGGGTGACAAAGAACAGCAAGGCCAACATAATCTGACCACTGCTGAGTCTGCAGAACAGCACCTTTTGAATCTCTTCAATGACAACAACTACTCCACTATCCCTGCCCAGGAGTTGCAGCTAAAATCACACTTGAAACCAAGTGTGGGCACATGTATAAGAGAAAGACAAACCAGGTTTCAAAAACATACTAGATCAGTTGGTGTCCATGACTATTATCAAGTCATCGATGAATGAGGCCTCATTTAAATGCCAACAGCATCCAATAGCAACAACAGAAAGAGTTGAAGTATACAGGTGAAACTTGAAAAATTAGAATATCATGCAAAAGTTCATTTATTTCAGTAATGCAACTTAAAAGGTGAAACTAATATATGAAATAGACTCATTACATACAAAGCAAGATAGTTCAAGCCGTGATGTCATAATTGTGATGATTATGGCTTACAGCTCATGAAAACCCCAAATCCACAATCTCAGAAAATTAGAATATTACATGCAATCAATAAAACAAGGATTGTACATAGAATAATATTGGACCTCTGAAAAGTATAAGCATGCATATGTACTCACTACTTGGTTTGGGCCCCTTTTGCAGCAATTACTGCCTCAATGCGACATGGCATGGAAGCTATCAGCCTGTGGCACTGCTGAGGTGTTATGGAAGACCAGGATGCTTCAATAGCGGCCTTCAGCTCTTCTGCATTGTTCGGTCTCATGTCTCTCATCTTTCTCTTGGCAATGCCCCATAGATTCTCTATGGGGTTCTGGTCAGACGAGTTTGCTGGCCAATCAAGCACAGTAATCCCAGTCACTGAACCAGGTTTTGGTGCTTTTGGCAGTGTGGGCAGGTGCCAAGTCCTGCTGGAAAATGAAGTCAGCATCCCCATAAAGCTCGTCTGCAGAAGGAAGCATGAAGTGCTCCAAAATCTCCTGGTAGACGGCTGCGTTGACCTTGGACTTAATGAAGCACAGTGGACCAACACCAGCAGATGACATGGCTCCCCAAATCAACACAGACTGTGGAAACTTCACACTGGACTTCAAGCATCTTGCAGTGTGTGCCTCTCCATTCTTCCTCCAGACTCTGGGTCCTTGGTTTCCAAATGAGATGCAAAAGTTACTCTCATCAGAAAAGAGGACTTTGGACCACTGAGCAACAGACCAGTTCTGTTTTTCTTTAGCCCAAGTAAGATGTTTCTGACGTTGTTTGTTGTTCATTGAAGCCCATGTCCAGGATCTGTCTGTGTGTGGTGGCTCTTGATGCACTGACTCCAACCTCAGTCCACTCCTTGTGAAAGTCCCCAACACTTTTGAATGGCCTTTTCCTATGGTCATCCCTGCTGCTTGTGCACCTTTTTCTTTCACACTTTTCCCTTCCACATAACTTTGTATTAATGTGCACTTTGGGAACATCCAACTTCTTTTGTAATTGCCTTTTTCCCCTCCTTATGGAGAGTGTCAATGATGGTTTTCTGCACAACAGTCAGGTCAGCAGTCTTTCCCATGATTGTGATTCTTACTGAACCAGACTGAGAGACCATTTAAGGGCTTAGGAACCCTTTGCAGGTGCTATGGCTTCATTAGCTGATTAGAGTGGGAGACTTTGAGCCTTTTCACAATATTCTAATTTTCTGAGACTGTGGATTTGGGGTTTTCATGAGCTGTAAGCCATAATCATCTCAATTATGACACATCACATCTTGAACTATCTTGCTTTGCGTGTAATAAGCCTATCTCATATATTAGGTTCGCCTTTTAAGTTGCATCACTGAAATAAATGAACTTTTGCACTATATTCTAATTTTTTGAGTTTCACCTGTAGATTTGTTACTGATAATGTACTTTTCATCTTTTACAAGCTTGGCATAATTTTTTTACAACAATCCTTCACTTTACTGAAAAAAAATTAGATCCAAAGTTCTTTTACCTGCTTGACTTTATGAATTCTTGCAATCAGTTCTTCTGCAGAAACACTGCCAGCAATTACTTCAAGAGGGATTCCATTATCTCCTATAAAGAAACTAGATGGAATACATACTACTGGATCTATGTAATGACAGTAAAGGATAATGTATTCTCTTAAGAGTAAAATAGAAAATCAAAGAAAATGAGTTTAAAAGAAATGGGATTACTAAAAGGAAATGGACAATTTACATTCTGCATACAGCAGACCTGCCGAACTTCAAAGATACTCCAAAATATTGTTTTCTGCTGTCTCTTGAAACCAAATAGACCAGCAGTCGCCAACTGGTGGGCTGCAAAAATTTTTTGGGTGGGCCGCAGAGTAATCTCACCTCCAGAGAACCCCCTCCCTGAAGCAATTAATTCAGGCTGCGCAGAAACACGAGGCTGTGCCACCCACATGGCCCACGGGAACCCTTCCTGCCCACTTACTCCTTACCTGGCAAACTTGCCTGCTAAATTGCTATTTTTTCTTTTTCCGACCATCAGCTGTTCTGCTGTGCCGGGAGATTTAGATTAGCTAGGAAGCAGGAAATGGTTGCATTTCTTGCTTTCTAGCTAGTCTTTAGATCTTCAGCTCTGCTTTTAAGCATAGACGAACCTTCTTTAGGACTGAAGGTTCTATTATTCAGTGCAGACTCATGGCAAGCAAATTTTATGTCACAGACTGAGCTAGCCAATGGCAGATAGATAAATCACTGAATGATTCTGGGAGCAAGTCAATCTGCCTGCCTGCTTTGCCTGATTTTGGGTTAAAGTTGCTCTTTTTTAAATAAAACATTCAATATTTATATATTTATAATATTTACATACAAGCCATGCCAAGCCAATCATATGACTGCTAAGCCACACTCACAAATTAGGCCACACCCACAGAACCAGTTAGTGGTCCCTGGGATTTAAAATTATGAGTTTGGTGGTCCCTGAGGTCCAAAAGGTTGGCAACCCCTGAAACAGACAGTTCAAATGAGAAGTAGTACTTGAACCTTACTGTTTTTAAGACTTGCAGTCTTCTACATTTGAGACTATTGTTGCATTATCAAAATTATTATGCATGCTTTAGAATTAATTGCTAACCCTAACTTCCAATCAAGTAATCTATTTCCAACCATAAGTGAATGGATATTTGAGGTGTTCAGAAGTAGGAAAGAAGAAAGTTTCCTAAGAATCTGGTACCAAAATGTCAGTTGCCCCTGTGCATTACAGTTTATTTTTAATAATATCAAATAAAGATGTTAATATAACATTCTATACTAATATAGTTTTTTAAATTAGTGGCCATAACCATATCCTGAGTAAAATCCCGTGAGTTATAGTGGATAGTATTAAAATATTTCAGTCAAATAAATCAACTCCAAACAGCTCATATGAAAACTAGATCTAGAACAGTTGAGAGCAAGAAACCATTCTGCAATCATTTAGATGCTGTTTCAGGATCAATTTCCCATGTGGTATGTAACCACCAGAACCCGTTTTCAACAAACTATGGTTCTATGAACCCTAACATGAAATTTTAAAAAATGTAAAATATATGTGAGACTAAAATGCTTTGTGTTCCTTGACTGAAAACTATAAAGATGTATGTGTGTATGTATGTATGTATGTATGTATGTATGTATGTATGCATGTATGTATGTATGCTTTTATAATACTATAAACTGTAATGTTAAAACAACATAGTGGTGTCCTAGAGGATTGCACAACTAAAAGCTCTACCTAGATATAGAACAGAACTTGAGGAAAGTAGATGTAATGGTGAACAGAGAAGCATATGAAGCCATCTCAATAAAACATGCACCGCAATTTGTTAAAGGGTGTGGAACAGTACACTATGCAAATGATACAGACAGGCTTCAAAGCATGATTTTAATGAAGCGATTTGATGGTTTCAGATAAATGAAAGGTCAGTTCCAAGGCTATATAACAGCAAGTCCAAAATATTTTTGAGGAAGTAGATCTTAAAAATATAGCAAAGAAACAGAGATGTACTAGACCATTTATTTTAGTTTTGCAATCATGTTCTATGAACTTGTATAATTCCATAGTGTTCAAAGGATACAGATTTGTGAGAACTGCAAACAGGCTTCACTGTAGAAGAGAAAGTATTAATTTACTATTATAACCATAAATACCAAGAATGTCACAGAACAAATTAGGTATACCATATTATTATCCATATTACTGCAAATTATTTTTGAGATTGCACCGAATTAGTTTCTTATTCTTTAGGATACTATACTGAAACTGATAAATATAATGCTAGTCAAGTTACATGTTAATCCTAAAGTTTTCATTTATTATCTGCTATAAACATAAATAAAAGCTTCTTTGCTGAAAGGGCTTTATGATTTTTCACACAGCTAAGTTCTTTCATTTGATTTCAGTGAAATGAGACCGAAGAATGGATCAGTTCATATTTCCCTCTGTTTGGTACTTCTAGTTCCCAAAGTCTATCTGTCAAAGTTAGATCTACACATCATTTAACCTTACTGCTTTTCCTCCTATTTTTCCAGACATATTTCCTTTCTCCATTATTCATTTTATGCAAGTCATATCTTTGACTAAAAAAATTAGATACACCTACTTAAAACAAAAAATAGCAAAGTAATTAGAGAGCCAGTTTGGTGTGGTGATTAAGGCGATGGGCTAGGGACTGAGAAACTGAGTTCCAGTCTTGTAGAAAGACAGCTGGGTGACCTTGGGCTCCTCAATTTCTCTCAGCCTTAGGGAGGAGAGGGGAGAGGACAGAAAAGGAAAACAGAGGAGAAAAAAGGAAAGGACTGCAGTCTCTGAGAACTGGACACAACTAAACAGAAGAAGTTGTTAACCTAAGAAGTTAAACAAGTTTTTAAAAAATGTCAGGAGTTACAAACATTATCATAAAAATTAGATAGAAGCAAGAAACATTTATCATTTGAGCAAGAAACTATATCTTAAACAACTAACTATTCCTGTGGAGGGAAGGGCTGTTGAGCAATCATGAAAAGTGAATTGGTGTACATATACCTATAAGCACACATACAGCTTAACATTTCTCCATTCTAAATTGCCTTTTAGAGAAAAAAAATGTATTTAGATTCTAGGATGAGAAAGATCCTGGAAAAGTGGGGGGAAATACAAGAAGTAGTTTAAGGGGGCACTACCACTGTTCTAAACAGTGAGGCTGGGAGAAAAGTTTTACAAACTGTCAGCCTTCCTAATAAGCATTAGGGATTTTAATTTTGGGGGTGAAAAGTATCAGTATTTTAGCTGGTGGCCCAACAATAGGAAAAATATGAAGTGAATTATGTGAACTATACTCCTAATGTCTACTTGTACAAAATGTAGTGTTAAATTAACATTGTTTTACAAAATAGCTGATTAGAAAATATCTGAAAGTAAAACTTTATTGAGAAATAAATACAAAAAATATTGCCAAACCTTTGGGTATCAATTTTAATAGCCACAAAGTTATCTGTTGCTTCCTCAGAAACTTTTGCATTCTCCCAGCTGGCAGCCATTTCTGTGGACTGTTCATCTTGCCCTATGAAAAACATTTAGTTTTAGGGATGTAATTATAGTGCAATTACAAATTGCAAACTACTTCAAATACAATTATAAAAAGTATTACTTTAAAAACAGGAATGCTCACATAATTCCAAAGTCGGGTTTGATTAAAAAAATCAGGGAACCTTCAGATCAAGTTCTCATAGATCAATTTTAAGAAACCCAGACCAGACATGTCACAAATGGGCAATAGATGCAATACATGGATAAATAGCTCCAGATAAACCAAATTAATAGCTCCAAATTAAACCAAATTTTCATCAGCCTGGATGAAAAGAAGGAAAAATAAGAATGAGTCTGCTGATTCCATATCTCAGTAATCAATTTCAATTTTATGATGAACCTCTGAAGCAGGAGGATCAAGCTGTGACCTCAGAATTACTACCCTAGAGAAAATTAGACAGAAAAATAAGGAGCTCAAATGTATTCTTGTCCCCTAGAGGATATTCCTATGTGATGTAACATGCAGAACGATGTAGGAATCATATGATAATCAGATATCTATACTAAAATATGTTTTATATACTTAGAATTTCTCAATAGAGCTATCATTTCCCGTGTTTCTCATATAATAAGGCCAGGTCTTATTTTTTTTGAGCCCCGAAAAAATGGCTAGGCTGTCTTTTCGGGGGTGACTTAATTTCCCCCCCCCCCTTGCATCTTTGGGCGGGCAGGCAGCGACGGCTTGGATGTTGACCTCGGCGTTGGTGGGGCACTTCGTTATTGGGGTCAATGCAGGCAGCAACATATCCACGTGTGCAACAAAAGTATTTCCTAATGGCAAGCCCCCCCCCATTCCCCCCCATTCCGCATGTTTTAATATAGGCCTTAATTTGGGGAGAGGGGCTTAATTTCATTTCATGCCTATAAAACATGCTGGGATTTCCTATTGGGGGAGGCCGTATTGTTGGAGAAACAGGGTAGTTACTTCAGTCTTGAATATTCTGAAATCTAAAAAAAAATCCATCTTGAAATGTAAACAGCCTTTTGTATTGAGTTAAAATATTTTATATTATACCACTGAATAAACTATAAATGGTTTCACTTTTGAATAAAATAACAAGCTGTAGGTTGTAAGCTAAACAAAGTGAAATAATCCAATTAGTGAGAATACCCTTAAGTTCTATGTCTATGTCAACTATATACCATAAGAAATATTATCAGTATTGTTTAATATTTAGAAATTGAATTCACATTCGCATTCATTTCTAAATTGCTGAGAATTCAGTGAGTAGGATAGTATTTTTCAGGTACAACTGCTGTTTAGCACGCACTAATTCTATCATCTTGTCAGTGAAGAGAAATGAATAAACTCCAATAAGAGTACTGTTGCACAATTGATGTTTTCCTGGAGAGATTCAGCCTGTAGCACAAAGAACATCTTGTTTAGGCCAAAGGCCTCCTTCTTGGCTTATCATAAGCAAGTATGTAAAAGAATATTACACATTTTAAGCCTCTTCATGAAGATTCCCGATATTCCTTTCCGTTGCAGTGAAAGAATTTTCAAAAAGTATGATTAGAGAAGTTGAGAAGCAAAGAAATTAAAAAGGCAAATATTTATTAAAGACAGGAGGTGCATGTACAACTGATAGAAGGCTTTTTTTCCCCTTCAGTGTGAGATGAAAGGAAGCAAAAGTAAGCATTAAGACTAAGGGACCACTAGATTTGAGGTAGTTTGGGGAATTCACTGTGTGCTTGGATACATTCTGAAAAACTTGGTTGGATGGCTACTTCAGTTGAATCCACTAGTCCACAAGTGCTAGATTTATTATACTTGATAAACTGGCTAGTTAAAGTTGAGAGTGATTTTGAAAACAGTAGAAAACTCCATTCTTCTTATTCACTGAAGCCCAAGAGTTGAAGAGCAAATGTGAAGAGATGGTCTGAAACACCACACTCCAAAAGTGGCAAATTGGACAAGGTAAGATTTTAAACCCAAGTGTGTCCATTACAACCTCTCCCCCACCAAAAACAATCAGATTTACTATAATGTGGAGCTCTGTCAATTCTTAATCTATCCAATGTCAGTGAAACATCAAAGGCATTTTGTTTGCTGCTTATGCTGACATTGCAAGGCCTCTCACAGAAAAGTAAGAAAAATAGGGAAAAAAGATTCACACCAGCATTCAAGTAAACATTAAATTATTAGGAATACAAGGATGAATTAAAAAAAAAACACCACCAGATCTAGAATATTAGAAAGAAATGGGGAACAGCAGGAAGCTCAAGTGCCAAATCTAGAAGTCTCTCCATAGAGGAAACCTGAAGAGGAAACATGCAGAGAAAAAAGCAGGCAGAAATAATTCTTTGGGTTGAAATTCTTGGGCTGAAAAAAAAAATTGAAACCAATGCATGACAGCAGTGGTAAATTCTACTTAAGAGATTGTCCTCAAATTATTACGACAATGGAGTCCAAAATTCCTGCTGCTAAGCGAGTAGCTGTCAAGTGAGTTTTGCCCCATTTTACAACCTTTCTTGCCACATGTAAGTGAATGACTGGAAATTTTTTTTTATACAATTATTAGGTGAACCTGGCCTCCCCATTTACTTTGCTTGTCAGAAAGTCACAAAGGGTGATCACATGACCCCAGGACACTGCAACAGTCACAAATACATGTCAGTTGCCAAGAGTCTGAATTCTGATCCCATGACCATGGGGATGCTGCAATCATAGTAAGTGTGAAAAAGAGCCGTAAATCACTTTTTCAGTGCCCTCCTAACTTCAAATGATCACTAAACAAAAGGCTGTAAGTCGAGGACTACCTGTACCATGTGTTGTTGTTTTTTGCTGAAGTCTGTACCTTAAGAGAAATATACATTCGGTTTTGCAAGAGGTGGGCTGTTGCTTCTACCAGCGTTATGTCCCATTCAATAACCCTAGCCAGCTTAGTGATAGGGGACAATGCCCCCACCTTTACGCTTCTCTTGCCCGATATCCCCAAAAGCAAAACCGAATCAAGGAAGGGTTGGCTCGCACTCGGACGAGCCACTCTTGCTCACGGGCTGCAGGACAGGCTGAAAAGTTGACCAAAAGTCCCTTGAAGAAGGCAACAGCGGACCAAGTAATTCGGCAAGAGAACGACGCAGGCTATACGAGGTTAACAAGAGTCAAGGTTGTCAAAGATCCCTAACAAAAAGGACTCTGGTTTGTATTTGATCTGCTTTTGATATTTGACAAACAAATATCAAAAAAAGCGAAATACATAATACACATTTTGACAGCGGCCAGATTAGCTTTTGCCCAATGTTGGAAGCAGCCTCAGGTTCCATCAGAGGAGATGATCATTCCAAAAATTTCAAGTTGTGCAGAAATGGACAAATTAACTTTGGCACTAAAAAATAAAGACATCTCAATATACTACAATAGCTAGAACTGCTGGTACAAATGGATAGATGAAAGATAGATTTTACATTATAAGGCAAAAGAGGATAGGAGAAACTCATGGCAGTGATATACAGATATATGTAAAGATTAGGTGTGTGTATATGGCATAAATTAAGGGTTATAAAAAAAGAGAGATCTAACAAGCTGTTGAAGATGAGAATGTTTTTAATTGCTTTCTATTTTTTCTTTCTATTTTCTTCTCCTTTTCTTTTCTTTTCTTTTCTTTCATTTGTGTATGTGTTGTTGGTTTGTTTTAATTGTACAATTAATACGATTTATTTATTTAAAAACAAAACAAAACACAAGAGTCAAGGGTGACACAAAACAGCCTGGATAAGTTTTACAGGCGAGACCCCCCCCTCACCACTCGGAGGGGTTGGACGAGGCGGTGAGGGTAACCACAGGAGGCAGCTCTGAAGCCTCCCTTCCCGCCCCCGCCCCGCCGCCGCCTCAGCCGCTTCTCTAAAGCGTATTTCAACGCAACCCTCCGCTCGGCTGGAGGACTCTGCCAGGCGAAGACAGCAGCTGCACAGGTCCCTTCTCACCCCGCCGCCCCGCCCCCCCACAGCGGGCCTTTTCCATCCCTCAGAGAGAGGAGGCGGCGGCCCAAGCTTCCCCCAGGCGGCTCTGCTTCGGGGCTGCCCCCCCCTCCCCAGTTTCCCAGGGGGACAAGAGCGCTGACGCGGCGCTAACCCACCGCGGACGGGCCCCCGTACCTTGCACAAACACCACGAAAACGGCGCTGCGCTGCTTGGCGGCGGCAATGGCGGCCGGGATGGTGCCAGGGAACCACAGCATAATGGCGGCGGCGGCGGCGGCGTCGACTCCGCGCGCAGAAGACGAACGGCGTGCGGGCGGGGTGGGGGGGGGAGAAAGAGAGAGCCGGAGAGAGGGCAAGCGAGAGAGCGAGAGACGTCGCGCGCGCCCCTCACCTCTCCAGAGCCCCTTGACCCTCCCCGCAGTCCGTTTGCCTCGTACGCGTCGGTGCGCGCGCACGCACGTCACAAACGTCAGCCTCGCTCCGGAGGAGGAGACTCTCCGCTCCACTCTCCGCTTTCCCCCCCCCACCTCAAAAGAGGAGGTCGGCGCCGAGGGCGCAGGCGCGCCTTTTTTTTTTTTTTTAAAGCGCTTGGTGAGGCGAATGGGAAGAAAAGTCTCGTCGCGGGAAAAGCCGCGCTCTGATTGGACGCCGAGGAGCGTCTTACTGAGCTTTAGCACCGGCGAGTAAGGCGTGGAGGAGAGCCCGGTGATTGGAGGCGGGGGCGGGGCTGGATTAATCCGGGCTGTTGCGGGAATTAAAACCACAATTACATGAATTAAATTAAAACGATGGTACGGGCAAGCCTATAGAATATTTCAGTTCTAGTTTGGCCCCTAGACTGAGCCACTCTGACCATTTGGTGGTGGTGGGGGAAGTTATTTGATTAGCAGATTTCAGAGAAACTTCGTTTCCCACGTATTCAGAATTGGAGTACCACGTAAAGTTGTGCAATATTGCACAATAGTGGTTGAGGCAACAAGGTTGAAACCAGGAGACCGGTGAATTCTGGTCCAGCCTCAGGCATGAAAGCCGGCTGGGTGACTTTGGGTTAGTCACTCTCTCTCTCTCAGCCCAGTTCACCCACAAGGGTTATTGTGGGGGAAATAGAAGGAGGAAAGGCTGGTTATAGGTATGCCCCTTCACCCCGACCTCACCCATCCAGTCATTACTTACACAAAGTAAGGCAACTGTGATTAAATCAAATAAATAAATATTGGGGATCAGCTCTGGATTTCTGTGTTTTGATGGACTTTCAGGCTTGGTCCAGAATAGACCTTGCACCCTAATTGGTTGTGGAGTTTTTATTTATCTATTTATTTTTGTCAATTGCTTAAAAGATAATAGGTATAAGTAAAAACATAGTTATGAATACATGGATACATATAAGAAAAATAAAAGAAGCAATAGGACAGGGATTGTAGGCACATTGGTGCGCTTATGCACGCCCCCTACAGACCTCTTAGGAAAAGGGTGAGGTCAATAGTAGACAGTCTAAGGTTAAAGTTTTTGGGGTTTGGGGAAGAAACCACAGAGTCAGGTAGAGTATTCCAGACATTGACCACTCTGTTACTGAAGTCATATTTCCTGCAATCAAGTTTGGTGTGGTTAACCTTGAGTTTGTATCTATTGTTTGCTCTTGTGTTATTATGGTTGAAGCTGAAGTATTCACTGACAGGTAGGACATTGCAATATATAATTTTATGCACTATACTTAGATCGGACTGAAGGTGGCATAGTTCTAGATTTTCTAGGTCTAGAATTTCAATTTCAGTGGTGGCATAAGGTATTCTGCAACGAGTAGAGGAGTGGAGAACTCTTCTTGTGAAATATTTCTGGACTTTCTCAACTGTGTTAAAATCAGATATGTAATGTGGGTTCCAGACTGATGAGCTGTATTGGTCTAGCTCTAGCAAATGTTTTGTATGCCCTAGTTATTCGTGTAATATTACCAGAGAAAAAGCTACGTAAGATTAGGTTAACAACTCTTAATACCTTTTTGGCCATGTAGTTACAGTGGGCTCTAGCACTTAGGTCATTAGAGATGAGTACTCCAAGATCCTTGACAGAGTTTGGATCATCAACAAGGTCTTGACTATTCAGCCTGTATTTTATTTTCTGATTTTTTTCCCAATATGTAGGACAGAGCATTTATATGTTGAGATTTGAAGTTGCCATTTGCTTGACCATTCCAATTTTGACTATTTGTTGTCTGTTTGACAGGAATGCTTCTATCCAGTTATGCAGGTATCCAGAGATACCGTAAGATTTTAGTTTTAGGAGTAGTTTGTTGTGTACCACTGAATCAAAGGCTTTACAGAAGTCTATGTAGATTGTGTCTATTGCTTTACCCTGATCGAGTTGTGTAGTCCATATGTTTTTGTAGTGTAAGAGTTGCAGATTACATGATAGTTTTTTCCTGAAACCAAATTGTTGTACAATCATTAGAGAGTAGGATGTTTGTTTCTAAGTGGAGGATGATGGATTCGTTAATAATTGATTCCATGACTTTACAGGTGATGCAGCATAAAGAGATTGGTCTGTAATCTTCAACTAGGTTCGGGTCTCCCTTTTTGAAGATGGGGATGACCATGGTTTGTGACCAAAGTTTTGGCAAGGAGCTGGTCCTGAAAGATTTTTCAAAGATTATGGTTAGAGGTTCGGCTATGGCAGTGGATAGCTTTTTTAAGAAGTAGGCACATATGTTTTATGGGATCTTGGCTGAACTTCACCAATCTATTTAGAAGAAATAAACTCTGTACTGATTATATATTTTGCTTTGTTGTGCTATGTCTTTTGATCATCATCATAGAATAGAATAGAATATTTTATTGCCCAAGTGTGATTGGACACACAAGGAATTTGTCTTGGTGTAAATACTCTCAGTATACATAAAGGATACATTCGTCAAGAGTCGAGAATCATAAGGTACGACATGTAATTATAGTCATAGGGTACAATAAGCAATCAAATCATACTAGGAAACAGTCAATATAAATCGTAAGGATACAAGCGACAAAGTTACAATCATACAGTCACAAGTGGGAAGGGATGGGTGATAAGGATTGATGAGAAGATTAACAGTAATAGTAGTGCAGACTTTGTAATAGCTGAACAGTATTGAGGGAATTATTTGGTTATCAGAGTGATGGCTTTCAGGAAAAACTGTCCTTGTGTTTAGTTGTTCTGGTATTCAGTGCTCTATAGCGTCGTTTTGAGGGAAGGAGTTGAAAGTTTATGTCCAAGATGTGACGGGTCTGTAAATATTTTCACAGCCCTCTTTTTGACTTGTGCAGTACACAGGTCCTCGATTGAAGGCAGGTTGATAGTAATTGTTTTTTTCTTCCATCTTAATTATCATCTGAAGTCTGTGTCTGTCCTGTTGGGTTGCAGAACCAAACCAAACAGTTATAGAGGTGCAGATGATAGACTCAACAATTCCTCTTTTGAACTGTATCAGCAGTTCTCTGTAGAACTGTATCATTATGTATTATCCTATTGTTTCATGTTAAGTACTTTCTGTTTTAAAATTGGGTTCTTATTGCTTTGTTGAGATGAAGCCACTTTGTGAAATTTGTAAAACTTTGTTTAGAAATTTTAACCTCTGGGACAGAAATTAATATTGGCTATTGTGGCTGACCCTGAGGTAGGTTAATTTCTACATTCTAAATTACAAGCATCTCAGAAATATAAACATAATGCTCATGAAGTTTGATTGGCACCATGGGCTTTGTTTAGGATTTCATGAAACCTACCCCTCCCCTGAATGCAATAGGCTGGCAAATACTTAACAGGTGAATTTTTCTTTATTGTTTAGGCCTAAAGGAAGCCTTTCTAGCAAAGATGACTTTATGCTCTCAATTATATCAGAATATGTGTGCCATCCTAGTGATCACTTATAGCAAAGAACAGAATAACAAGGGTTCTAAACAAACTTAATTGAAATTTGAGTAACATTGTAATCATGCCAGAGTTCATAATGGATCAACTTTAGTTAAAATAACATTATTGATTTTAACCCAAGGTAAATGTAATCACTATTACACCCTTCTAGGAAACTCTATTAGAGTGTACATGCATTGTTCTAGCATCAGCAGCTGTCTGGGTTAATATTTCAAGCTGAAATTCTAGATATACTTCACTGTGACTAAGTCCCCTTCAGTTCAGTTGGAATTACTTTTAAATACATGCATATGTTTGCACTGTTAGATCTATATGTGCATTTTTTTTCACATTAGTTGGGATTGGGCTTTCAATCATGTTTTTTTTTAATTGTAAAGATCCCAAGTTATTCTATGAGGGTGATAATAAACTTTTATTAGCTCCCATTACTTGTCCCAGCTTCTGCCAGTCTAGCAGTTCGAAATTATGTAAAAATGCAAGTAGAAAAATAGGGACCACTTTGGTGGGAAGGTAACAGCGTTCCGTGCGCCTTTGGCGTTTAATCATGTCGGCCACATGACCATGGAGACAGCAGACAGCACTGACTCTTCGGCTTTGTAACAGAGATGAGCACCACCCTTTAGAGTTGGGAATGACAAGCACGTATTGCAAGGGGAAACCTTTACATTTAATAAACTTTAATTTAGCAAATAAGTTCAAGTTGCCAACTAGATTTATTATTATTATGGTATCAAAACTGTAATTCTCTAGGGATTATGGAATGAGTCTGCCTGCATTTTAATATATAGTGGTTTCCAGTCTGAATACTAAGCAAGTCAGCTAGTTTTTCCTTTTGTATTTGCAAAGCTTAAAAGGATTTATTTCTGAATAAACATATATAAGACTGAAATGCATATTGAATTCATTTATCTTCTTTTCACACTAAAGGAAAAAAATAATACCACAATCTGACTGAAGTGATTTTGTCTTTGGAACATTTCAATAATTAAGTTAGGGGTTCTCAAATTTTGAGTTGTGACTGTTGGTGTACTATACTAGATCACTTAAGGGTCAGGTCAGACCATTGAAATTGCTAATACTTGGCCTTGAATTTTCTCAGAAATATGTGAGTGTTTTTGTTATCTCTGGTGGTATGGTGTGCAATAATTGTATCAGAAGTGCACATAGCAGTGAAATTAAATATCTTATCCACTATTTTAACTTTCTAGCATTTCAAAATAGTAGGAGAGTTGGAGGTGAGCAATCTATCATTAATACTTCAAGAAAGTTATGTCTCTTTGGACAACTCAAGTCCGTTTGCTACTGGAGTAGCATGATCTCAGTTATTATTAGTCAGAAAAACTCTTCACTGTAAGCAACACAGCCAAACAAAAATAAATCAAATGGAAACAGATGATAAAAAACATTGTTGCAGTTTACCCTTATTTTGCTACATAAATTATTAAATGTAAGTGGCATATTTACTTTTGTTGAATCCTGACTCTAAACCAGGGGTGTCCAACCTTGGCAACTTTAAGACTTGTGGACTTCAACTCCCAGCAAAGCTGGCTGAGGAATTCTGGGAGTTGAAGTCCACAAGTCTTAAAGTTGCCAAGGTTGGACACCCC